ACGGAGGCGCGCGCGGAGGAGCTGGAATCGCGGGTGGGAAGTCTCGAGCACGTAAATCTCCTGGCTCGCGGTCGTTCCATGGACAGACAGAGTCCGCCGATGAGCGGCCGGAGTACACCTAACAGCCCCCAAAGGGATTTCATGCAGAAATACCACACGGTTAGTGAATTTTCAAAAAAGTTGTTACATTTAATGAAATATTTTCTTGGCAGCTCAACTTGCCAGTGCTATCCAGCGACGCCTCCCGCGAGGAGATCCACGGTGGCATGTCCACCACCGGTGATTCAAGTTCTGGAGGAGCTGCCTCGCCCTTAACGGCCCGCTCCATGCGCCTGGAGCGTGTGGCCCAGGCACTGGCTCACAGCCAAGAGGAGTTGCGAAGGCGTTCCATTGGCATAAATCCCAATGCTCCGGTGGCGCCAAACCACAGTGGCGGTCACATGCAGCTGAGCAGCCACAGCTACGGACTCTCGCCGCTCAGCTCGCGTTACGGTAGCCAAGAGTCGCTACGTCACTACAACACCATGGGCTCCATGTCCATGCTGCAGACGCCGACATCGGGTGTTTCGAGAGACGCTGCCGCTGCCGCTGTGCAGAAGAAGAAGGGAATTAAGTCCTCGCTGGGACGGTTCTTCAGCAAAAAGGAGAAGGTCAAGGGCGTGAAGGATACACTGCCCGACGGTTCGCCCAGCATGATGTCCATTGGCAATCTGTCGATCGGGTTGAGCGAGGTGGACTCAAACTACGATGCCATGAGCATGACCGGCGGCATGATGCCCCGCATTGCCAGCTCTCAGGGATCTAAAATAAGCAGTGTCGACTATGGCAGGCAGAAGAAGTGAGAGAGAATTAAGCTCGTCTACTAAACATTGGCTGACACTTGTGGTTTCTTTTCAGGGAGCACGACTACCGCAATGACTTGCTGGGCGAAGCCATGAAGGCTGGTACACCCTTCGCACTGTGGAACGGTCCCACAATCGTTGCCTGGCTAGAGCTTTGGGTGGGTATGCCCGCCTGGTATGTGGCCGCATGTCGCGCGAACGTCAAGTCGGGGGCCATTATGAGTGCACTTAGCGATACGGAAATACAGCGGGAGATAGGTGAGTGCCACTATTCCCTCCTTTCCAAGTTCGCTGAGCATTCTCTCTAACCACTCTCTCCGTTCAATAGGCATTAGCAATCCCCTGCACAGGCTCAAGCTGCGTCTGGCCATTCAGGAAATGGTTTCCCTGACCTCTCCCTCAGCGCCACAAACCTCACGGACCACTTTGGCATTTGGTAAGATTCGAAATGTTTATTTTGCTTTAGGGGGTTTTAAGATCTTGTATTGATTTATTTTCGTTAGATATCAATACAGTATCTTTAGCCCTAGGTATCTAAACTTTTGTTTAACAATCAATTAAAATGTTGTTATATTCTCCATTTAGGCGACATGAATCACGAGTGGATTGGCAACTATTGGCTGCCCGGCTTGGGGTTGCCCCAATATCGTACAACTTTCATGGAGTGTCTGGTCGACGCCCGCATGCTGGATCATCTCACCAAAAAGGATTTGCGCGGCCAGCTCAAAATGGTAGACAGCTTCCATCGCACTAGCCTGCAGTACGGCATCTCAATGCTCAAGCGGCTCAACTACGATCGCACGGAGCTGGAGCACAGGCGCAAGATGAGCGAGAATGGTCTCTGTGATGTGCTCGTGTGGAGCAACGAAAGGGTCATCCGTTGGGTGGGCAGCATTGGATTGAAGGTGAGTTCTACTGTGACCTGGGAAGAGAATGAAATTTATGCTGAAACATTTTGTTTTCACAGGAATATGCCAATAACTTGCTCGAATCGGGAGTACATGGGGGCCTGATGGCCCTGGATGAAGGCTTTGATGCCAATGCCATGGGCCTGGCCCTCCAAATACCCACACAAAATGCTCAGGTAAGCCATTAGCCAAAATGACTCAGAATAAATAGGAAGTAATAAATATTTTTATAACAGGCTCGCCAAATACTCGACACCGAGTTCAACAATCTACTGCAGATAGCCACAGATCGCAGGCCGGAGAACGAGCAGCGTAACTCCTCCTGATGCAGCTACAGTCCGCCCACGACATCGGTGGATGAGTAAACCTGAGCAGCACAGATAAGACACGAGCAACCTACAACAATAAAACTGAAAAGACCAGGGGCAACGTTTCCTAAGCAGAGAGAAGGATAGAAGTGCTAGCAGCAACTAAGCCACAAAAACTCCAACAAGAAAGACGCAACGCAAGAGACTCCCCAGCATGATGCACGTCTAATCCACATATTTAATATATAAAGAATATAAAAACAAGCATAGTCACATAATCCATAACGAGACAATGTATACAAGACATAGCACGTACTCTTCATAGGACATACGTAGTTGCAGGCGTGTACAAGTTTCAGAAGCTAATCAGTTTTCGATTATATAATTATTATTGTATTTTTATAGTGTAATTGGGCTTGCAATAGACTAACAGTATTTTGTTTTAGAAAGAGATACGACGGCGTGCTTCGAACCAAATTCGTGACCAAACCAGTTTGTTATATAATTTTTATGGCATTTTGTACAGTTTTTATTTTAATCAAATATTAATTTTGTATTTTGTATTTTTTTTTTTTAATTTTTGATGTTTACAAACTAACATACGCTTTACACATACATACATATGACATTATGGTGTTTCTGTTTAGATCATTTTGTAGCAGGCAGAGACGGCGTTCCGATTGAGTTTATAAACTGAACAACATGCACAACAATCAGGCATACATATATAGTAACAGCTGCATATATATACATATATATATACGATTTATATATTATAATAAATTTAATTATAACAAATTATCAAGGATACGTGTAACTAACAAGGAAGTATTAGAAACGAAGTTAGGGGACGGGAAGTCAAGTTGTAGCAGTCGCAAGCGCCCATTGAAATCAACTATTTACATACTTATATATATACGAGATGGATCGTTCAGTAATCGAAAAAGCTTTAAAGGCGAATCATAAACCTAATCATTGCTTTAGCCCTTAATAAAAGAATTTCTTTGCTCATTGGCCCAAGGGAGTTCCGAGTAAGACCTTTAAATATTTCTAATGAAATATTCACAAAACCCAAAAGCATATCCATTGTTTTTTAAAACATACAAGTCCGAAACCTTTTTCAAATTTTTCTAAGTTGTTACATAAATAAATTTAGAGAAGGAATCTCCCTTCTGTTGAGATCCATTTAAGTTTCGCATGTACTTAAACGTCCCTTTTATGTTGAAGCACACAAACTGCCACATAACAACATATAGACAAGCCCACATTCAACGCACCTATTAGTGCTTGGTGATTGGGCTTTAGTTTAAGTTTTTAATTATTTAAAAATAAACCAAAATCGCAACTAACGCTTGTCTCCAAGTTGAACTACAAAAAAAAAAACAGAAAAGGGAAACATTTACAAGATGAGTAAATATGAATAAAATATACTTAAATTAATTTATACTACTAAAATATATATATTATAACAATACTAACGAGAAATACTTAATGAAATTATTTCAACTGTATTAGCGAAATTACAAAAAACAAATGCGTAAACCAACTTATTAGAACTCTAAACAGCAAACTTATTTATGTATGTAACTGTAGCATTACCTAAGTACATCCAAGAGTAAAGCAAATATTTATGATGTGTAACCTAAATTTACTAAACACTAATGGAGAATATCTAAGTTAATTCGAGCTGGAGATTGATTTAATTGTTGACTTTTGTTGAAAATTCCGCAGAGAGAAGCGCTGAAGAGCAAACGTAACTAAAGTAAACTAACTGCATAACATAAATATAAAGTTTAATACCATAACATATGTAAATATATTTATACAATATTGTGAGATGAAAAGGATTCATGAAAATGGAATACAATACAAGAAACTTAGGTAAAAATTCCGTTTTGGGGTTTTTTTTATATGTACCATATATATTTGAAAAGATGAAACAGCAAACCACAAAAAAACAAATGGAAAAAATATAACTACAAATAAAACTTTATTAAAAAAAATGTAATTATTGTTTTAATTTATTTATAAACAAGAAAGAAAGCTAACTTTGGCCAGCCAAAGTTTGTATACCCTTGCAGGTAACAATTAAAATATATCATAACTAAGCCAAAAATGCATTAATTTCGATTCGGGAAGCAGTTTTGTGTTAGTTTTTATTAATTTTAAAAAACTGCATACCAAATTAAAAATTTTAAGAAATCGAAATTTTTGTCCATTTTTGAGAATTTTAATGATGTAACCCCTTATCAAATTTCACAAAAATGGCCAAAAAATCGATTTCTTCCGAACATGTCCAGAAAGATTCGCATGTTAATGCTGATCAAGAATATATATGGTTTATGGGGTCGAAAATGATTACTTGACTAGAAAAATATTATTTTGTATTATAAAATCGGATTTTTTTTATTAAAAAACTTCTTGATTTTTTTTAAAATTAAAAATATCATCACTCGACCAAAAGAGCATTAATTTTAAATCGGAAAACTGTTCTGTGCAAGATTTTCTACTGTTAATAAATCTGCATACTTCATTTAAAAATTTTGAAAATTCAATTTTTTATGAAAATCAAAAATTTTAATGATGTAACCCCTTTTAAAATTTTGCAAAAATGGCCAAAAAATCGATTTCTTTCTGACATATCTAGAAAGATTCCCCTGTTGATGCTGATCAAGAATATATATAATTTAGAGGGTCGGAAACGTCTCCTTCACTGCGTTGCAAACTTCTGACTGAAATTATAATACCCTGCAGGGGTATAAAAAAATGTGGGTACTTCAACCTATTTCGATTTTGAATCGATTTCCTTCGATAATTTTTAAGCGCATACTGTAAATGTAAATTGGTTTCCCACGTTTTTCTCAGTTTGATAATCTTTCCTTGTGATGAATAATGTAGTTTCTCAAATCCCATTTCAGAAAATACAAACACTTTCAGGGCCTCTGAATTTGACAGGGCTTAGCTTTGCTTACACTTGTATTGAAATTTACTCTTGTTTTGTCAGTTTTTTGTGTTTTTTTTTCACCGAAATTGTCTATATGAGATGTAATGATTTTTAAATCAGTAAAGATTTTCCATTGGTACATGTGATACTTTTAGATACTGTTCGGCTCCTGCTTCAAAATTCCACGTTAATTGCACCGTGCAGTCGGCTGCTTTGGCAACGAGCCAATCCAACGTCCACAGCAAAAGCTCAGAACCGAAGGAAGAGGAAGGCCACTGAACAGGGATACATCCAGGAGCGTGCAAGAACTGGGATACGGACAAGCAAAGAATACCCCAACGGACATTGATTCACAGCTCTCGAGCGTAAGTGGCAGGACTGGCCGGAGCCGCAGCAGCAATCAGCATGACGCCGAGTACGCCGGTCGGTGGAGTCACCGGGAGCCGCAATCGATACTACAACCCCGTCTCCAAGATACAGTCGCTCATTCACAATCTGGACGCCGAGCTGGTGCAGCTGTGCAAGCAGTGCACCGTGCCAAAGCCGCTGGCCAGCAATAACAGCAAGCCCATCATCGGTGGCAGTGGCTTTGCCCACAACTATGCCTATGGATCCAGGCCTCCGGGCGCGGTTGGGACCAGCAACTTGGACAGCATCGCCGCCCAAAGCTTCCGTCCCGAGAGCATCAACAGTTTGCTCTCCCGAGCTCGCTTCACCAGCTCGACACCCAGGCCCACGACACCTTCACCGCTAGCGCCGGAGGCCCACAAGCGCCAGATGCGGAATGTCTATCGGACGCGTGTGATCGACGCTTACCGTAACCGACGCATCTTCACCGTGTACGGAAATTACCACACGGTTCGTAGGGCACTGATGCGGAGAGGGTGGCTGGAGAAACTGCCGGCGGCGCGTTTTGCCAAGCTGCAGAATATGTCCGAAGACACCCTGCTGGAGCACGCCCGGCGAGGGAACGATTACGAGGCGGTGTTCATCTCCAAGATGATCAACCATTTCCCGGCTTTTTTCATTTGGCAAAGCAAGGCCCAGCGCGATCTGTGCGCGGAGGTGCGACCCTTCAGGAACCGAGTGCGCCGCAGCCAGTTCCTGGACTTCTCCACAAAGGTGGGACTCGTGGGATGTGCTGAACAGGAGCGCTGGTACCGCGAGGACGGTGTCTGCGGAATGAGCTATCCGCGCTTCTACCGCCTGGGCGGCAACAGTCTGGAGGAGCGCTTGGCCTTTATCGAAGACTACCAGCAGACGCAGGCCCGATCGCTGCTCCGATACGTAAAGGAGCATCAGCCGGCGGAACTAATTAGCGACAGCGGCACGGTGTCCAGTACCACATTGGACTTTGCCCTCGGAAAGGTGAAGAAGATGGTGCGGTATGCAGAGCACACTTCCTTGGACGATGCCCGAATAAAGCCGGCGTCGCCCGCGGAGATCGTTGAGAATCAGACGTTTATGATGCAGTCCACCGAAGTGCTCAAGTCAAACGCCAAGTTCAAGATGAGCGAGAAGGTAATGACCGAGTACGCTCGTCTGGCCAAGCTTTATCTCGATCAGATCGAGTCGCTGCGGCCGGATTATCGCTGGGATGGTAGCCGTAATTTGTGGATCCTAAAGCCCGGATACCAGTCTCGCGGCATTGGCATCGTCATACGCAGTTCCCTGGACGACATCCTGCAGTGGACATCCAACAATCAGAACAAGAAGTACATTGTCCAGAAGTATATAGGTGAGCTAAAAGAAAACATTAAATACCAGGGTCTCCGAGTACTATTCCTTCCTTCATGAGACACAAAAAATCCCCAAAAGACCGTCACTCTCGGACAGAAGCATACATCTTATTGTTATACCCTTGCAGGGTATTATAATTTCAGTCAGAAGTTTGCAACGCAGTGAAGGATACGTTTCCGACCCTATAAAGTATATATATTCTTGATCAGCATCAACAGGGGAATCTTTCTAGACATGTCAGGAAGAAATCGATTTTTTGGCCATTTTTGCAAAATTTTATAAGGGGTTACATCATTAAAATTTTGGATTTTGATAAAAAATTGAATTTTCAAAATTTTTAAATGAAGTATGCAGATTTATTAACTGTAGAAAATCTTGCACAGAACAGTTTTCCGATTTAAAATTAATGCTCTTTTGGCCGAGTTATGATATTTTTAATTTAAAAAAAAATCAAGAAGTTTTTTAATATAAACAAGAAAGGAAGTTAACTTCGGCACGCCGAAGTTTGTATACCCTTGCAGATTGGTTTTCATATTTATATCATAAATTATAATGCCGAAAACAGACACTAAACAGAGTTTCATAACATTTTATCTATACTTATTATGTTTACAGTTTGAAAGTTACAGTTATACATTCCCAGCTTTACATTTTCTCTACATCTACGGATCGCTTCTATGGCAGCTATATGATATAGTCGTCCGATTTTCATAAAATTTATACCAAAATTCTGATAAAATACCAGAAGCTCATGTCTCAAATTAGATTTAAAATTTTTTTCTAATATTTTAACTTTTTTTTTAGATTTTTAAATTTTTTTTTAGAATTTAAAAAATTTTTTTAAATATTTTAACTGCCAAATTTGAATTTGAATTTAACTGTCAAATTTGAATTTGAATTTAACGACGATCAATTTCAGTGTGCCCAGGTGCAGTTGTAAAATAAAACCTAAATTTGGATTGAAAAGGTTTGAGTCTGCGCTAACTTTCGCCGGCTCCGAAATGGTTTGAAACTTGGACAAAATTTACAATATGGTCACACTGGCACGTTTTTCGTGGCCCAAAGTTTGTATAACAGTTTATACCAGTTTTCAGTTGCTTGCTGCTGATTTCTGTTCGCCTGGTATCCCAATTTGGGAAACGGGCAATTTGCATGGAAATGTTCGGAAATTTGGATTGGCTGCTGTAGGGATGTTATTGTAAAAAGGTTGTTGTTGCCATAAGCTGTTGTTGTCAGCAACAAATAGGTATAAATGCATAAAATGAAATATAACAGTTTATGCCAATTATTATTTTTGCCCAAATGTTTTTATAACAGTTTATACCAGTTTTCAGTTGCTTGCTGCTGGTTTCTGTTCGCCTGTTACCCCAGTTTGGAAAGCGGCCAAATCGAATGAAAAAATTTGCTCACTTGCATCAGTGATGCTCATCTCCATCAGTGATGCTCACTTCCATCAGTGATGTTCACTTCCATCAGTGATGCTCACTTCCATCAGTGATGCTCACTTCCATCAGTGATGCTCACTTCCATCAGTGATGCTCACTTCCATCAGTGATGCTCACTTCCATCAGTGATGCTCACTTCCATCAGTGATGCTCACTTCCATCAGTGATGCTCACTTCCATTAGTGATGCTCACTTCCATCAGTGATGCTCACTTCCATCAGTGATGCTCATCTGCATCAGTGATGCTCATCTGCATCAGTGATGCTCACTTCCATCAGTGATGCTCATCTGCATCAGTGATGCTCATCTAGCTATATTGCAATATTGGGAGGCTACAAAATCGGGCTTAATGGCAGTGATGCTCATGTAGCTATTTTGCAATATTGGGAGGCAATATATCAGGCGTAATAGCAGTGATGCCCATCTAGCTATATTTCTTTATTGGGACAAAATAGATAGATGAGCATCACTGATGCAAAGTCAGATTCAGTGTGCCCAGGTGCATTTAACCAACATTTTAGCCAAAAAATGTACAATATGGTCACATCTGGTTTGAGTCTTCGCTTACTCCAAGATCAATGGTTCGAAACTTGGACTTTTTATAACAGTTTATACCAGTTTTCAGTTGCTTGCTGCTGGTTTCTGTTCGCCTGTTACCCCAATTTGGAAAACGGGCAATTTGCATGGAAAATTTCAGAAATTTGTATGGACTGCTGCAGGGATGTTGTTGTAAAGGGGTTGTTGTTGCCATCAAGCTGTTGTTGTCGGCAGCAAATAGGTATAAATGCATAAAATGAAATATAACAGTTTATACCAATTATTATATTTGCCCAAAAGTTTTTATAACAGTTTATACCAGTTTTCAGTTGCTTGCTGCTGGTTTCTGTTCGCCTGTTACCCCAGTCTGGAAAGCGGCCAAATTGAATGAAAAATCACTTGCATCTGTGATGCTCATTAGCATTATTAAAAAATTAAAGCATACTTTTGGGGTTTTCTATTAAAAACGTGGCATCTTTTAGGCGGAAGTTCAGATTACAGTTTGATAAGCACTGGTCCAAGTGAGATTCAACTTTTACAGTTTGACAAGCACTTTTCGGATAATATAAAATGGCCATATCTAAAAAATGGTGCAAAAATGTTGAAAAACAGCTAAGTTATAATTTTGTTTCTAAAAATTTATCGATCATTTGTATGGGAGCTATATGATATAGTCGTCCGATCCGGCCCGTTCCGACATATATAGCAGTGAGAGTATATAGAAGACTATATGCAAAGTTTCATTCAGATAGCTTTAAAACTGAGGGACTAGTTTGCGTAGAAACGGACAGACGGACGGACGGACGGACAGACGGACAGACGGACATGGCTAGATCGACTCGGCTGTTGATGCTGATCAAGAATATATATACTTTATAGGGTCGGAAAGGTTTCCTTCACTGCGTTGCAAACTTCTGACTGAAATTATAATACCCTGCAAGGGTATAAAAATCAGATTTTATAATACAAAATAATATTTTTCTAAGTCAAGGAATCATTTCCGACCCCATAACCCATATATATTCTTCATCAGCATCAACAGGGGAATCTTTCTAGACATGGCCGGAAGAAATCTATTTTTTGGCCATTTTTTCGAAATTTGATAAGGGGTTACATCATTAAAATTTGCAAAAATGGCCAAAAATTTTGATTTCTTAAAATTTTAAATTTGGTATGCAGTTTTTTTAAATTAATAAAAACTAACACAAAACTGCTTTCCGAATCGAAATTAATGCATTTTTGGCTTAGTTATGATATATTTTAATTGTTACCTGCAAGGGTATACAAACTTTGGCTGGCCAAAGTTAGCTTTCTTTCTTGTTTTTAAATAATATTTCCCTCCTGACAGAGCGACCCCTGCTTGTCTACCGAACCAAATTCGACATCCGGCAGTACATGTTAATCACAATCTCGGACACCACGGTCAACATCTGGATGTATCGTGACTGCTATCTGCGCTTCAGCTCGCAGGAGTTCACCATGGACGACCTGCGCGAGTCCATCCACCTGACCAACAACTCGGTGCAGAAGCGCTACAAGAACAAGACCAACCGCGACTCGCGGCTGCCCAAGCACAACATGTGGTCGCTTGAGCAGTTCAAGGCCCACCTGACCCACAAGGGAGCTGCGGAAGGGACTTGGTCGAAAATCTACAATGGCTTCAAGCAGAACCTTGTGGCCGTGGTCATGGCCAGCCTGGATGAGACGGAGCTGGTGCAGAACGCCTTCGAGCTGTACGGTTGCGACTTCATGCTGGACGAACACTACAATCCCATTCTAATCGAAATCAACTCGACGCCGGATCTGTCGCCCTCGACGGAGATCACGGCTAGGATCTGCCCGCAGGTGCTGAAGGACTGCATCCGCGTTGTGGTGGACCTGCCAAAGAACCCCTCCGCCGCCACCGGTCACTTTGAGCGAGTTTTCGAAGTCAACTACAGCATTAATAAGGGTGCCGATGGCAAGCCCCTGGAGCTAAACGGCAAGCAGATGACCCTCTTCGACCAGCCCAAGATACGGAGCCAACCGCGGTCGCGGCTCCTGCGCAAGATCCTGAACAACGTCAAGCCCACCACGAGCAACAAACTGGAGAAGGCCAAGGAGGCTCAGGCAATGAGTGTGAAGACAGTCTCTGGAAAGGTTTCCAAGAAGAAGGTAGTGTATATCATGACTTAATTATTTTTTATTTAAATTATAATTTAAACGAGGATATTTAACTTATGATTTCAAATTTACTTTAAACTGAAATATGTATGAAACATTCTCCTGACTTGTTCTGACTCTTTAAAGAAATCACATTCTGCTGAGATGGCAAGTTTGGACACACCCTCCTCCCATACCTCATCGCAGAACGTCGGACCGAAGGTTATCCTGAATTCAACGACTCGAGAGAATCTCGCACTGCAATACACTGCTCCCAAGTAAAGCCCTCTGAACAACTTTGGGTGAGTTTTAAAGACAGTGGAAGTACTAATTTACTAATAGAATGAATATTTCTTTGGTTTTAAATTACTTCAAATACAGCATAATGTGTATTTCTTCTTAGCAATTAGGAGATTTGAATGAAAGTCAAGCTAAAAATCAAATGTAGAAGAGAGGTATGTTCCAGAAGTAAACTTAAAATTCTTAGGCATGTGAAGTCCTTTCAAGCAGGCTGATGATTGTAAAGATAACAACATTCCCAATGGATCTATAGTCATTTCCCGACCAAAGTATCAAAGATCATTCTACAGATGCATAATAAAATCATTAAAAATCAAGGGTTCTAAAAATATGAAAGACCTAAAGCAAATTCATGCTCGGCCTGAGCTTGTAGTGGACCACGAGTATTCAGATCAGGATCACTGCCAAAATCAAATGGAGTTATTGAAAAACTAAAACAAAAGCAAAGATTATTAAACATGAAAAGCTAAAAAATTATATTTAGATCATTTTGATGAAGACTTTTCGAATAAAATTGTCTTAGACTTATTTGGATTTATTTCACTTTTAAATATTTTATTATCGAACTGAATTTAGATTTCTTTCACTTTTAATATTTTATTAACTAATTTATTTATTTCTTTCACTTTTATTATTTAATTTAAGGTCTCAATTTTTACACAATTTTAGTAGATTATTGATTATGTTTAACCAACGTACACCAGAGGGAATACTAGCAGTTTGAAATGTAACAAGGATATAACAAATAACATTGAGATGGGTCAACCACGGATCTTCTACGTATCTTCAAGCGCATTGAGGCTTGAAAGTTTTAGGTTAAAATTAACAGTAGCTATTATTTTCATCAATTTTTCTTAGTAAACGCATTTCTGAATACCGTACCAAGGCAGTGTAAGTAAATGTCCTAGCCTACTGGCAGCAGAGGCGCCGGAACCGTCAGCGTCGAGTTGTGCAGCTTGTTAGCCAGGGCGGTCCTCGGGCTCATCATCTGCGCCTGGGAGAGCTGCAGCTCGCTGGTGGCCTGCTTTAGAGCGGCCACGATGGGTTCGCCTCGGTGCAGGGCCTGTACCGAAATGCTGATGGGAAGCCGGGGTCCATTGGACTTCCGGCCGAAGGTTCTGCCAATGGCATGCAGGCTGGCCGTGCTCTCGATCTCTGACTTGGTGCGGACGAAGCGGCGCTGTGGCAGACCCGAGGAGGCCAGGGGCAGGCCTTTGGAACGGGTCGAGGAGGTGGAGGCGCCGCCGCCTGTAGTGGCAGTAATGTTGCGTAAACTGCGCCACTTCCGCTCGCTCATCACAGGAGCCGTCGCAGGTGCAGATCCTTCTGGTCGCGATTCATGCATAGACTCACTGCCGCCGCCGGCTGTGTAGTTCTTGATGAGGATCTTGAACTTCTTTTCGGTGCTGTCCACGGGATTTGTCGAACTGAGCCGAGGTCCGCAGCTCCGCTGACGTTTGGGCGGCAGTGCCGTATTCGGCACAGGCTCACCCGGCACAGATCCCGCCGTGTTGCGCTTGTGGGAGGCACTGTTCAGCAGCTGGGTGATGGAGCGGCCCGCCTGCTTCAGCAAATAGGGACACGCTGAAGCCGACTGCGGGGCAGGAGCGGGAGCCACCGTGGGTGACTTCTGCGGTTGCTGGCTGTTAAAGCTGAGGCTTAGGCTGCTCCTACTACTGCTCAATGGCTCCACCATGTACTTTTCCATGTACTCGGTGGCATTGAAGGTGGGCATGGCACGGTGGATGCGCGAGATGCTCGACGCCGGATGCAGTATGGCCGAGCGCTGGCGGTACACGCTGCTGGTGGCCAGCGAGCGCTCCTTGCGTTGCTGCTGGTAGTAGTAGTGGTTGTGGCCACCCCCATGGCTCACCTTCTGCAACACCTGCTTGCCCTTGACGTACAGGTTGAGACCCATGTAGGCAGGCGTAGGCGGGACCACCTGGCGGTAGGCCAGGTCAAAGTTGCCCATGTCCGCTTTGGGATCCGTGCGCCGATCAATAACAACTGCAATGATCCACAAATGGAAATATTAAGTAGGTGCTTAAAGAAGCTGCTCCGCGACTCACCCTTGACTACATCCTCCAGGCATTGCGGGCACATCCGTGCCGTCACACTCGTGGTGGCGCCCAGATCCGGACTGGAGTTGATCTCGATGAGCCAGGGATAGAAGTTCTCGCAGATCATGAAGTCCGCGCCAAACAGCTCGAAGGTATTGGGCCGCCGGTCCATGTTCTCCTGCGAGGCCAGCATGCAGCCGACAATGGCCTTTCGCATCCCGGGGAAGATGCGCTCCAGCCACATGTTGTACTTCCCGATCTGACGCAGATATGCCTGGAAGGAATAGCAGTCCCACATGTTTTCGCTGGGCAGGCGCTTGTCCCGCTTTCCGTTGGTGTACTTCTTCTGGATCGCATAGTTGGTCAGGTGCACCGACTCGTGGTGGTTGCTCAGGCTGTACTCCTGGGAGCTGAAGCGTAGGTAGCTCTCCCTGTAAAACCATACCACCAGGGGCTTGGGTGGAGTCAGAGGTGAGTTAGAATGGGGATATGGATTAGCTTAAATAAACCCACCTGGGTATTGGTTATGAGAAACCACTGACGAATGTCGAATTTGGTTTGGAACAGAATCAACGGTCGCTCTGTAAATATATAAAAGGATTTTGGAGTTTTCTAAATATTTGGCAGGATATATCATAATATGGTTATATCTTCATAAGCAGAAAATCCAATGGAAAACGACTTTCAACTTCTTCACAAATAATTCCATATTACAATTCCCGTTTTACCAACTTCAGTCCGCCTCCATCTGCTTTGGAGGGCCATTTCAGGTGGGATTAAAAATCAATTGCTCTGGGAAACCTGTTGAGCTTCGCGAAGCAGACAGACAGACACACGGTAAAGCAAATTGTGATTGTTGCCTGCCAAGGAGCACGACAGGAAAAGCAATAACAGTGGCAACACCAGCCCAAAGGCAATGATTGCGTTTTTAGGCCAAATATTTATGCATTTTATGTTGGCAAGGAATCGCAACGGCCAACTTTGTCTGTAGACAAGAGTGTGTGCGTGTGTGCGAGGAGCCTCACTCAGCAACTGACGTCGCTTCGACTCGAGCTCCCAGAGCGCCCAAAAACGGGAGCCCACTAACTCGAACAACAACTTTGGCACCGGCCTGATTTACGACCTAGTTTCCGTGTGTTTGTTTATATCGCCTACTAGCAGCGGGACTCGAAATGTGTGTTGGGTCTGCACTTAAGATGCTTTATCCGTTATCGATTGGAAAACGTATGTAAATGTGGGATAACTTTGAAAAAGAAAAACCTCACAGGATTCACATTTGTCCTTATCTTTATCTAAATTTCACTGGAGTTAGTAATTACTAAAAACTATGGTACAGATATAGTACTTAGCTCACCTATATACTTCTGCACCACATAGCGACTCTTGGAGGCTATTGACGGATTCACAACGCCCAGGATTTTCTTCAGGTTGTCCATGAGGAGGATACCCCTTCCCCGACACTTGTTTGCTGGCTTCACAATCCACAGATTCTGGTAGCCGTCGAGGCTGTACTGCGGCCAGTGGACCTTCATCTTGTCGATTAAAGCCAGACAGCTCTTGATCATGGGATCCAAACGCTGGCCGTCATGCTGGATGCGTCCGTCCTCGTTGACCAGCTGCTGGTGCTGGAAGAGGAACGCGTCCCAGTCGTGCTCCCATATCTTGGGCGGGTCCTCGAAGTCGATGTCGTTATGCTGGCAGCTGTCGATGTACTCCACAAGGCGCTTATAGGCAAAGTCTATCGAGGAGTAGGGAATCTTGCCGGCACAGGAGAAGACGGCCTCGGAGCCCTGCTTGTGGTACTTGCAGAGCATCACCCGCAGGTAGGCCACGCAGGCGGTAAGCTTGAAGTTATCGATGAACTCTCCGAGCTCCTCGGGACTCCAGACATTGTAGCAGCGCGGGAAGTACATCTCGGCGGTGCCCTCCTCGAAGAACCAGTGAAAGTCCCGCAGCTGGCTGCACAGGCCCTCCTTTGAGGTGAACGGCGCCCTGTGGAATTTGTTGATGGTCATGCCGGGATTCTTGGCCTGGTCGATGTAGTCGCACTTCTCCTTCCGATTTGTCCACAGAAAGTCCACGGGCATGTGCTCCAGAAAGCGAGACATGATGTTCCGCTCGCACTTGAGCACGTACTGCCGCCGGGTCTCTCCCGCCTTGCGCTTCGGCAGCCGCTGGGTGAGGTCCTCGTAGGTCATCTGGCCCGCAGGCATCACCTTGCGGTGCACGTCCAGCTTTTCCACCCATCCCCGCGTCAGCAGGGCGTTCCTCACCGAGTTGAAGCATCCTCGTATGGTAAAAATCTTGTTCTGCTTGGCCGCTTCCTGGGCTTTTCGTCGCAGCTCATTCATTCGCTCGGTAGTGATCCAGGTGCGTCTGGCCACGTAATTGGTGGGGGCTCCCAGGGGAGTGCTCTTTCCCTGCGGCACAGTCTTCCCAGAAAGGTTCTCCTTATTGCTATTGCTGTCGGCCAGGGAAGGTATCTCCTTGGGAGCGGCGGCGGGTAACAATGCCCTCTTCACGGGCGTGTCACTCTGTGCGGGCGTGAGCTGGATCACAGGAACCGTAAGAGGAGCCACTCCCCTGTTCGTCGGAATGGGCGTAGGCGGCGGTGCAGTGGGCGGCGTGGCGGGCTTTTTGGCCAGCGAGGCACTGGCGCATTTCGGGGTCTGCTCTTCCCTTACCTGCTCCTTGCCGCGGTGCGGCTCACTGCTGGGACGCGTCTGCATGGCGGAAGCGCTCGCTCCAAGCCTCGCCAGCCTACTGAACATGGATACGAATTGCGGGGCTTGCTTTGACTGGGCCACTGGGTGAATGGGTTGTTAATTCGCGGAGCTGCCTGGCAACCATTGAGCCAGAAATAAGTTCACAAGTTCACTTCGGCAACGGCTCTATTAATAGCTTCATGCTCAACTTGCTCCTTGGTTTAGCCTTTGCTTTTAGCCGTGCACCCACACCTGCATGCGCACCTGCCCATACATGTGGCGAGCGTTCTGGGTTTTATTTTAGCGGAATTTAATTTCTTATGGTTTTTGTTATTTTGAATGGATTCTTCATATATGGATTAATTAATGATTATGATTTACAAGTAGTTATTAATAAAAATAGTTATCACGCCGCAGTAAAAAGAATCCTGAATCGAATTCAAATATAATTTAAACTATATGATAAAAGTAGTTCAAGATAACTAATCCTAGCCAGGCGTAAGACAGAATACTCCTTATAAATACATTCCTATTCGTGTTGGAGTTTAGAGCATAGTTTTAGCACTTTTCACGTTGGGTTAGGTCGACCGGAAATGGATGTTTATGTCGGTTACCTGGCGATGTTGGGTGACATAAAAATGACCTTCAAAACGAGGTTTGACTGAGAATGGGCTGAATATTTTTGTTGGTGTTATGTAGAGAAATTAATTATAGGAAATTGAGAAATAAATAATGACGTTGCTTGGGTTTCCTTAAATTACCAAAAAAGCAAAATGAAGTCGAATTTATTGTTAATTCGTGTTTAAACTTATCAATTTGTATATTTATCCTTAAAACACAACACAACTTAATTAAAGAATTAACAAAAATTACACACTTAAAATACAGTCGTTTTTAGTTATATAACTGTATGTTCACAAATACCAGAGTAATCTATAAATCACATTAAATATAATAACCTAAAATGGCAGAAAGACCTATCATATTGTAATGCATATATGCAAGCACCACCAGAAGTACCCACCTGTCATGTTCCTACGCCCCAGAGCCCTGTTCCACCCAACCCCATTCGCTGGCAATGATGTTCTTGCACGACTCCTGCTTGTTTCCGCCATGTTCCCATGTCGCGGTGGGAGTTGTCGTCATTGCTGTTGCTCTCGTTATTTGGTGTTGGTGTCATCGCTGGCGTTGTCGTCACTAGGAAAAGCGTTGCCTGCGACGCCAACGTAAGCAAATCAGGGACTGGAAAAGTGGGCGGCCCGGAATCCCTTTGATGGATGTACTACTGACTGCCACGGTGGTCTTGTCTGCGCAATTTGTGCAATTTTCGCAATAGCAAGGAAATGGATAAAGGGAACTTTTCAATTATTTGTAAAATAATCAAGTTAACTGCCACCATCATGGGTGGAGTGGGGACTGAGCGATTACTGGGTTATGTTGGGGTTACGTAGGGGGGTTGGGTCTTATGTCAGTGCCACGTGCTCGGTCCTGATCCCCCTCCCAGAACCAGTATTTGGTTCAAGGACAATTTAGCCGCAAAACTTGATTCGTAGCGGTTTTTGCACGAGTTTTTACCGGAGTTGCGGCAAAGTTGTTGTGCCCTGTGTGGGACGCCCGGCACACGGCAACACCTTTGCCAGGAGCTGGATTCCGGATCCGGACACCGCACTCCGGTTCTGCTGGTGTCCTTGCGTGCCGACCAAGTTGAGAGACTGCCTCCCCTTTGTCTATTTTATTTACATTGCATTAAAAATTGCCTGGTTTTAGTCTGGCTAACGTACTTGCTTCAAGACAGTTGTTCACGTAACTGGGGCGGTAATTAATTTTGGCCGGGGAACGGGGACTATCCGGACGGGCTTATGGCCTGGTAATTTGAGGTAATGCGCCAGATTAAGTTTATTTACTTTCGAGGCGGAGCTGGTTACGAATTTCCCTAGATTTGGGTCAGGGAGTTTGACAAGTCGAAAGTGATACGCTTGAGCCATGGCATATGTAGTTGTAATGAACGAATATTCAGTTGGAAATTTTCAAGGAAAGGAAAATAATATATTTCTAAATTATAGGTTGTTGGTTACATTATGTTATGATATTATGGCTTGATGCAACCTGTTGAACCGAGAGGAAAATTATGGCCTAATCAACGATAAAAAGGCATACAATTTAAGGACAAATTATCGCAAATTTGCAATGCTAAGACTTAACTGATACAAAATATTTCATTAATAATTAGTACTGCTAAACGTTGACATATTCTTTATAAATATATTTTAAGCATACTACAATATTTGTATTTGTTTAGTAATAAATATAAGGTTATTATAGTATACCTAGGATTTCTTCCCCTCAAATCCGCTCCTGGACAATGCTAAGGAACTTTCGCCGGGATGCGTTGAACTCGGGGGAAAACGGATTCAGTGGCGCCCGCGATAGAAAAGTGCAACAACGACGAAAGCTTTCCCTGCCAGCCGAAGTAGCTTTTCTCCAACATGGAAAACCGAGAGAGATGCGATGCCGGGTGCTCGGGCCGAAGTTGCCGACGAACGCCTTCGGTTGTCCATTCAAATATATAAAACAGAAGCGTACGGAAAATAGGAAAACATTCATAACGGAAAACTCCTGACGTGTGGACGCGAAGTGCCCGTGATTTCTGTCGTTCATTTCTGTCGCGTCTTTCGCTGCTTGTGTTTTGTGTATTATCATTGTTGCCATTATATTCTTTGCAACTACTTAGTATCTCTCTGTTCGCGACTAATGAACACATATTAGCGCCAAAAGCAAAACAACGAAAATATCCCCCATTCATCTTGTTCTGCCAACTTATTTCTAATTGTGAAGCAACCTTGAAATTTTCACCGCACGCTGGAAATTGCAAAACAAAAATAAAGCAAATATATACCTTATTGTTTACCGAAAACTAGTAAATTATCAGCGTATTTCGCCATTTGCAATGTGACTTTCCAAGTGTGATCGCAGCTTTGTTGACGTTTTGTTTGCCCAAAAGAATCGCTTAAAGATCGGTGGAAAGCGGCGTTCGATCGCTTTTACCAGACACTCAAGAGTTCAAGAAAGGATATTGCTTTGGATTACTAATTGCGGAAGTCAAGCTGCCAAAAATGGGCACTATCGGTGAGTGAACTGTGAATGATAACAAGAAACCGGATTTAAAAATGGTTTAGGTTTCTAAAAAAAAAAAAATGTTTTCAAATATTGTTTAAATATTTATTGTTTAAATATTTAGAATATATATATATATATATAGAGTTCTTTTGAAGTAGTTTCAACCTCTTTTAATAACATTTTCTTGTATTGTCCAGTTTCCTTCACTATAGTTAAGTTTGTTCAATTATTATTTTCAAATATGACAAGTTCTCATGCCACAAAAGGCAACCGCCCAAAAATTGTTGAATTCAGTCCCAAAATTGTAGTAATTGACTGGCATTTGCTGGCTTGGTTTGACTTATTGTTCAGTTACATTGATATATGATTATCTTCGTAAGTCTAGTTTTATGTCATTGTTCCGCCCCTTGAATTGACTTTCTAAATAAGCATAATCCTCGAATGCCATTCAAACAATTGCACAATTTCCATTCTTTGATTACTTGTCATCCAATCCGAGCATCTTTTGTTAGCTCAGGCCAGATCTCCCCACATGACGTCCACATCCCCATAATTATGTAAATAATCCTTTTCAGGCAGCTCCCACTCACCCCCAAACAGAGCCGAGATTCCTTTCAATTGAGTAGGATATATGTGGCCAGTTCACAGTCAACGCCCCCTCATGTCCATTTTCCATCCTGCGGCTTTTCGTTTGCTTGCTTTTCAATTATCCTGGCTAAAAATAAATCCACGAGCACACACGAACCGAAGAGAGCAATCAACCCACATCTACGTCTACGGCCACGTCCTCATCCGTGTTATTCCGTGGACCTGGGTGGCTTTCAACACCCGGCTGAACATAAAAAAAGAAGGGAAGCTAACTTCGGCAAGCCGAAGTTGAAATACCCTTGCATAGGGTTGATAGGATAAATGTTAGCGGTGTTTTAGTATACACTTTTGGTTGGATTTTTGTAAGAAACTTTCGCAATTTAGAAATCTTGAATCATTATCTTGGAGTAAATATAAAATATAGCATAAGAACCAAAGGATATCTGTTTTATTCAGATAGAGAGACTTAAAGTCAGACATGGCTAGAGCGACTGTTTAAGATTTGGTCTCCTTCACTGCGCGGCAAACTCCTGGCTTTAGTCAGAAGACTCTTTGCAAGAGTATAACAAGAAACGAACACCGAACACCGAACGACAAATGACAACGACGTCATTATCATAAACATGGTCTGCGCGGCGGCCTGCCTACTAAAATACTACGAATTTTGTTTATCCAAAATGTATAAAATAAATAAACTCTGGCGGGGCTGGGCTAAACGGGGCAGAGCCAACGGCTGGGGATAGACCCTAAAAACTCATAATCGAATGACGCACGAGGCTCTGATTTTCTCTACACATAATAATCAACGAGTGCTGGTGGGTGTTTTAGCCGCTCATCAGCCAGGTTGCTTGTCCGCCGGACTATCCTTGGGCCCGGCCATCCGGTGTCCTCCTGGGTGCGCCCGGCTACTACTTGGCCGAGCCGAGCCACGGCCATAAATGCGCTTTGATTGCCATCTCGGCGGGGCCAGAGTCAGCCACTTCTGCCTCAATGGGTTCATTGTGTCGCGTCAGTTGCAAGCACAAGTGCCACCTGGGTTTTGGGTTTTGTACGGAGGCCTGCCTCCTTGAATGCCATCCTGTGGAGGCGACTTGTGCATTTGCGGCTGGATATGGGCGCATTAAACACGCTTGACATGCTGCCCGGCGACGAAACAACCTCGGCAAACATTTCCAGCTGGCGTTTGCTAAAAGTTCAGAGGTGAATAAAACCATAGATAACAGAAATGGCACTTTCTTCTTAGTTTTATCCAACATTATGCTGAGCACGACAGGCTAACGATTCCATAAAGGTCAGCTGGCCCTCCGGCTAATACAGTTATAACAACCTTTAGCGAAGTTAGCTGAACAAAAACGATCTGTATCTATGATTTGGCATAAAGTCAAGCTTCCATTTATGTATATTGTTTCCCGTTATAATCCCAGTTCTTTCCGAAAGTAAACCTTAATTTGTACGACTTCGAAGTCCTTTTGGACTGACTGCATCCCAACGCAGATCCTGATAAGTTGGCCAATAAGTAATTCCAGCCGAGTTAATTACGAAGAACAATGGGCTTCTGGGGCTTCAGTTCGTTGCTCAGGCCATTTCAACCACAGAGTAGATATTAATGTTGATTAGCCAATAAATCGAGACAATTAAAGGCATTCGTTTTTATGTGTTACAAGGCTTCTATTTATTATTACTATTACATACATCTTTGGTTTTTGGTTTTTGGCCTGATTAAATACGACTGACATACTTCAAATTTGCAAGGTTTTTGTGGGAACACTTCAGCTTCAAGATGGGGCAGGTTTGCACCGGCTGCAGGCACCGGCAGTAGACGAAACGCATCTTCAGATACTCATCGAACTCCTCCATGATGGCTTCATTTTTGAGCACTTCGCGATACTCCTCGACACTCTCCATACTCATGGGATCCAGCTGGTGCATGTAGCACTTGAGCTTCAGCACCATGGCGTAAAAATAGTTAAATATATCCACGGCCATTATCTTGTGGTACTGAATGCATCGGTGATGCTTGTCGCCCAAAAGGAACGGAGTCTCCTGGGTCTTGTCCAGCCGGTCATAGGCGGCATAAAATTCTTTGCAGTACTCGCTCACCTTTAATATGGCTGCCTTTATGGTATTGCTAAGGAAGTGTCTGATATGTAAACCGATCAGTGCCACATATTATTTTTAACTTACTTAGAGACTCGCACCACTTCCAACTTTTCCTGGTACTCATTGATGATCGCCTCCTCGGTGGACCTGGTATAGACCTCGGGATACTGACACCCCTGCTCCGAGCTGATCAGTATCAAATAACGCTGGGTAAGCAGCCAAATGCGCTCGATTAGTATCACCTGGGCCTTCATTTCACATTGATACAGGTCGTAGTATTTCTTAAAGCGGGCCTCCAGGTCCAGAAGAAGCCTCAAAACCTCCGCCTCCGCCTCGTAGTGCTTCTTGAGCTGAGGCGTCAGATGGGGCTCGTCATCGTCCACTGTGCGTTTATTCTGAAATTTCCATTTGCGCTCCAATTTGTGCTCCACTTTTTGCTCCATTTTGTAAACTGACTGACTACGTGTACGTGTGCGTGTGTGTTGTTTTAGTTGTTTAGTGTGTTTGGTGGGACTGCCTGACTGTCTGTGGAATTAGTGATGCCTTCAAGGCAGACTAGATGAGCTGGGCGCGACGGGGGTCTATTGCCAGGCCGATTTCCCCAATCAATTTCAGTTGCCATCTCTTTCGTCAGGGGCCAATTAGAACTAATTTGTTTGGCATCGGGAGGGAACATCCTCTAAAACTAAATGAAAATGAAAATCTCTTTTAATAAAAATCAAATGAAATCTATTGCTACTTACGCAACGCTAATATTTCACAGAAATCGATTTAAAATAGATTTGTCTATCAAATACAAATGTCTGTATATGCAAATATCACTCATACGTCACGATGTACGCAGAAAAGAAATCAGTTGCTCGATCGATCTGCAGCATGTGATAGGAAAATAAAAATATATAAATAATATTAATGTGCCTGTGAGGAGGAGGGCAGCCAAGAAGCCCGATCAAGCATGGAGAGAATGCTTTGATTGATTCCCTTATAGAGCATTTATGGTCCTCGGGATGCATCTCGAGAACGGAAATTAAAATGACGGAATTTTACATTGCTTCCCCGAGATTCGCTCGAGTTATCTTTGTGTTCATGTACACTGTGCGAAGATGAGCATTTTCTATTTAAATGCGTAATTTGTTTCTATTCTCGCCGTGAGTGTGTGTTATTGGGCAACGGAGCATCATTAATGAAGTGCGAAGCCAATTGCCGCCTTCAGAAATTTCGATATGCGAGCCACACGTTACGTTTGTATCTTAAACCAGAAATACATTCAATAAATCTGTATGGAAATGGCCGAAATTTGAACTCGCGAACGTCAGGCCGCATAACAAATATTGCTCATTGGGAAACGATTTTCCAATATCACTCAAATAAACAAAAAATAAAACATATGAATGAAAGCCGTTGCTGCTGTGAACCGAACACATATTTAATGCGCCTTAATTGCAAAAATGTGTTGAAAATATTGACGGCTGTCAAGGGAAAGCGGTGAGTAAAATTGTGAGAGAATATTAAAATGAAAGGCGATAGAATATATTCATAGCTTTCAAATTTGGTTAAACGTTTAAAGCAAAACATCTCTTAGAATAACCTAATGTTAATCTTAGTTCTATAATTTTATTAACGTTTTTCCTGCAATATTTTAAAATATCTAGCAATAGAGAAGTCTTTCCTTTGCAGAAATGGGATATGAAAAAAATAATACAAAGTGAAACCAACAATATCCACTGGCAACGCACATTTTGTTTACGGCTTTCGGATTTTTAATTGCCAAAGCGGCACACGCGGCGTATGCGCGATGTCTTCATTGGTGTAATGTGCTGGGCTATTTTGGACCAGACAACAGCTCCTGGCGCGCCCTCAAGATGTGTCTTCTCACCATCGCCCGGCTAATGGGCATCATCTCTTCCTCCTCCTCCTCCTCTTCACTCATTCTCATTGCTTCTTCCCTGCACTCCCTCTCGGTCTGTCCCACCAAGTGGATTTCGATTGTGCGGCTTTCAGCGAGGCATTTTATGCAATTATTTTCTCGTGAGTTATGGCCAATGGTCTTGATAGTGTTGGTTAGATTTATGGGAAGGTGCAATGAACCCCTCGGGACAGATAATTGCACACGAGACTGCTTAAATAATCATAATTAATATTCTTTGTGTGAACTGCAATGGCTAATGAATGATTGCAATATATATATTCCACAAAATATTCATTAGACTTAAATAAGCATTCATCTAATATTAGATGGCTGCATAAATATGAAAACAACAAATTTCTTTCTTAAATTAGTTTCAATAAAATCAAGAGGAGATGGTTTCTTTATTGGGAACAAAGAGCTCTTTACATTTACTTCAAATCATAAACAAGGTAAACTGCACAAGAAAACTCCGGATCGAATTAATTTAACTTAAACCAGCAGATATTTGAGATTTAAATATAATTTAAATCATGACATTTGCACTATTTAATTTTGAAAGAATGGATCCATTGGATTGGTAGATTTCTTCCACTGCCCGCTCTTTCGCTTTCTACGCGCAGAACAAGGTCGTGCCGTCGCCTGTCAGCGCGAGAAATATTATGGCTAACCAGAAGATAAAATATATAAGTATCTCCGCCGAAGAAGATCCATCCATCTGTGTCTGTGCGGGGACTGCACAGGTTTCGGCCAACTGTTCGGTCCCCTACGCTCTGTGCTCCGTGCGTTTTGTGACGCGCTTCTTGCCATTGACACGCAATTAAATGATGTACTTAAAAATTGTCTGAGGTCGTAATGTAGGTAAGAATTAAAGGCGTCTTTATTAATATCTCAGCAAAGGCGTCAGTATTATTTTGGTTTTGGTTTGGTTTTGGTTCTCGCACCCAAAAAGATACGGCTTGGGATCAAGCGCAAGGAACTAGGATCCCAAGACCTCGATTGGGGCCTTTCTTGATTTACTGTAGCAGGTGCAGAGAGATTTACAGTTACTTAGTGCTTATGTAAAAGTATTTATTTATTTTATTTTAACATTCCTCTGCATCTGCTACAGTAAATCAAGTGAGGACACCGAGGATCTCTAGAGTGTTGTGAGTGGGTATCCTAAGAGCAGCACATTAAACTTGGCCATGTCGCTGTTTTCTGTGTCCAGGTATTCGAGATAGAAGAGATGGCCACATTTTAGCGGCCACTGGGGTCTGCAGATCCTATTCGATGCATCATATGGGGAAAGTGAAAGAGGAAGCCCTTCTGCTGCATCCTCATCGTCCTCCGTCGAGTCAACGATCTTTTTTGCCTCGATGTCTTGGGTAAGGCAGCTGTGGTTCCCCATTCATTTGGACCTCCATTATAAAAAATTCTCCTAATTTTGAATTCTGTAAAAATATATTAAAATTAGTTTTTAACTTTAAAGGATGATAAATCCAATATCTAGTGATTACTTATTTTTAAAAAGAAACAAAAGCAGAGAGTAAGTGAATAAAAGATCCAATGAGATCCATTTTCGAGAAGAGAAAGTCAAGCGAAATGCGTGGGCGATGTCGTGAACGCTTATTGCTCTGCGCTCCTGTCTGTTGCCGAAGAAAGCATTTTTATTTTAATTCGTATACGTATGGATGGATATATGTGTAGTATTTAATAAATTATTAATTTTTGCTACGTTTTAGCCTCTCAAAACATCACATGAATCGTCTATACGGTCGAGCCAATAAATGTTTATTATATAAATGAAAATATTTTACGCAGATTGGACTATGTGTGTTCACGAGTGTGATCAAATATGTGGCCTAACATTTTGATTGAACATACTTATTATATTGTTAATTAATGTATCACTTTTTAGGAAAAAGATTGGATCATCAACTGTTTTATCCTGAAATAAGCAGGAGAGCGAAAATTCAGCGGTCAATGGTTCAGAGAGTACTTTTAAAAAAAGTTGCTTTTAACCTGTTTTGGCTTTGCACTTAGTCTAGACGCTGTGCCTTTGTTTATACTAGATACACGTGATGATGATATTGCCATTGAGATATCTCTTGAAATGTTTTTGTTTCGAGCGTCTACAAAATGTTGTTTTCCCCTTTATTTTGCTTTGCTGCGTTGCGGCGAGTGTTATTATTGAACGAAAAGTGCTTTAAGAGCGGAATGACACTTTGAATCTTTTGGTCATTATAAGTGTGACCGATGATGGATTAATTCTAGCTTGTTTTCAGCGCTTTTTCTTTCTTTACTTACAATTATTTACGATCGTTTTGGGACTCCAGACAGACCACATGAGAGATATTAAACAGCAATTGAGCCCCCGCCTGCTCTGCAAAATTATTTCCAATCTTATTTATTTTCACAAGTCTCTCGAAACGTACTGACCCCCAGCGAATGGCCCACTTAATTTATGTGAGCATCGGGTCCATCTATATTGCCTTACCTTCGGCTGGGCTGAACTATTCAGATATTATTTATAGGGTCTGCGTCTGATTGGACATTTTTCATTTTCCAAAATACTTACAATATTATTTTTTTTATCAACGCTGTGTGAATGATAAATGCTTTTACGTCGGCATTTGCCTTGACCTTACCTTGAAAATTGTCAACTACATGAATTTTTTACTCAACATTCTCGGTGTTCTTTATTTCCGATTTTCATTTATTTTCCTTAGCACGTAATTACAAATTTGTTGGCTATTTATAAAAACGTGTTTTCCACAAAAAAAAAGAGAAAATTATACTTACAAAAATATAGTAAGAAATAAACGCTAGCAAATTAAATAAATCGTAAAGCGGAACTATTAAAATAAATTATGGAACCGGTGGCGTGGGCGGCGGCAGCTTCTGCTACTTGCCGCGAGCACCCAGGATGTTTCTGGGCGCCTTTCTCTTTCATTAGCCCTGACATGCGAGCCTGTCGAGCGGCACTCTTAGAGACACTCAGGTGCCTCCAAGAGTTGGCCTTGATCCTTCATCCTTGGTCCTTCGCCTGCCACTTGCCACTTGCCACCTCCCACCTGCCACCTGCCGCTCGTGCTGGTCATGTGCGCAATTCTCCAAGAGCAGCTGCCTCTGGCTGACGGTCTTCTAGAGTGCCGCCATATATCAATATTCGGAGGGAGCGGGCCAGAGGCCGGGGAGGGACGGATACACGCCTACTTTTGCTAAAAATATACTCCGTGGCCAAAGGATGGTGAGAGCAAATCAAGCAAATTTAAACGCGTTTTATAAATACAACAAAAATATACAAAAATCGCATCTTTTGGCCGTTCTATCAAAAATCACTCGCTCTTGTAGACGTAGAATCTATAAAAAATTCTCTTATTATTTATTTATTTCGCTTTCGTTTCGTTTCATTTTTTTGTGTTTTTTTTGGTGTTTTTGTTTCGTGTGTACATTCATATTATATATGTACATACAGACATATATTTAATTTTATTTCATTTTGTTTATTTTGGATTTTGTTGTTTTTGCTCTTGTCTGTGGGCGCAGCGGAAATTTTCTTTCAAGTCGTTAATTTTTATTGAATTGTTGTATAATATGTTATACAAGTATACTACTTAGGAAATCTTTTTTCAACAGATTGTGAGTAATGGTTCCCAGAAAGTTGGAGAAGTCTGTTCTATAAAGTAAGATATAGAACGGGAAGCTATCAGAGCTCATTTGTCTGCCATATACAAGTTACTCATTAACTTAATGCAACAAAAGAAATATTCTAGAGCTATTCAACCAATGTTTTAAGAAAAAGGTATATTTATTTTAAGCTAATATTATCCGTAGCTATACTTTTTTTTCCAATATTCATAATTTTATCTGCAGAAAATACAAAATATATTATTGTTTCATTCCCTGCTACTCCTCTTACTTCTTGCCCTGCTCATTCTCGGTTCCTTTGCACATTTTCTTATAGAGCAGCTGTAGCTTAGTGTGCGGCGCCTCCACTGGCAGGATTATCTGACCATCGTCATCCATGTACTTGTCGTATGGCTGCTCGGCGAATACTTCAAAGCCAAGGGATTTAAATATCTTCTGGGAGAAGATACCTGTGGCATCGGTCTTCAACAAAGAGAAACCCTTCTGTTTGGCCAACGCCACCGATTGCTTCACCAGCTCATTGGCAATGCCACGACCGCGGTAGCTTGAGTCCACCGATAGGACGCGCACATCGAAGATACGGTCCACGGCGAATTCCTTGAATAGATCGTTTTTGATGTTGAAACTGTAAATCATAGTAAACATCTTTCGGTAACCAAGATCGCAGCTTCGGTCTAGATCTTTTAGAGCCTTTACCGTGTCGCCATCCCTTAAGATGCCGTTTAGCACCACGCCGGCTATCTTACTGCAGTCTTGTTGCGTCTCCACAGCCATCAGGCTCAAGTGATCCGGCATGGTCTCTAAAGCCTTCTGCTCTAGCTCGGGGTGGGTGCAAGGGCTTCCATTCTGGCACAAGTCGGCGGCTTTATTTGTGGGCTCGTCGAGGAAGAAGTTCCGGCGCAGGTGCTCCAGCACCTGGTCATAGTGCTCCTGTTCAATCAATTCGTACTCCAAGGGGTGGCAGCTCGAAGAGACACTTCTTCTCTGAGGCAAATGATGGTTAAGAAGTTCTGGGAGGAATGACGAGCATTTCAAGAAGGGCTTAATACTAAAATTTAATTGATGGCATAATATAATTCTTTTGTGTATGCCAAACATTTTTATTCAGTTAAAATTCAAATTAAAATAGTCAAACATCCAAAGCATACTTTGTTTTATGACGATTTTATTTTGTCTAGTACTCAAAATCTAATCACTTTTCCCACCAATAAATTAGGTTTTCAATGGCTTTTCGTGGGTATAGTTAAGTTCATTTTTGCCTCTTTGAAGCAACTGGCAAAGGAAGTGCCAATCGATGAAACTATAAACACTGCCAAGCTTTTGAACATTTGTTCTTGCAATCCCTGCTAAAGCCATATAGCATAATAGGGAAGCATTTTTGTAAACTATAGTGACCCCATTATGTGGGCTGTTGTAAACAATTTGAAGCGAGTCTTCTCAGGTACACAGAAAGTACCCAACTCTCGGGCATATGAAGAAATGTAAGCGTTTATTTAATTTTCCATGGAAATGCTGGATTGTCGTGAGCTCTTTCAAGTTGGCCTAGGTCCTGGAAAATCATCTTAAGTTTTCCACTGGAACAATATATGAAAGATTGAGGCATTAAGTGAACAAGTGCTCCCCTGATTGGGCAATCGATTCAAATCGATTGTTTAAATTTACGAGAAGGCCTGGTCAATGGTCTCCGCTGTTTGCTCTCCTTTCTTCGGCGATTGCCCTGCCCGTTGGACCCCTCCTAGCAATTCATCATTCCAAGCGGCTGGGGACTGGCGCTGATCCGAAAGTATTTGCATTTCGTTTTGTAATAATGGGGAACTTACAATCCGCCGGAGACGCCGACGGGGCTGCTCCGGCCCCAGCGCAGCCTCGTTGGCCTATAGAGACGAGGTGGTGGCCACTGGCTGCTATACAGCAGTGCCTGTACGAGTATGTAGCACGCCGACCGACAACGACTGCCGATTGACGTCAGCAATGCCCCCAAAGTCGTGCACACTGTCGGGCGAGCTGCCAAGCAGGCGGGGATTCGGGACACCAGTAGCTGGTGGAGACCCGGGCGATTCACGAGCCCCGGCGAAGGGAGCGGGGCAGAGGCATTCATTTTGTCAGTCACTCAAACGAGTGGCGAATCTCTGGCCTGCTCTCTGGCCAAGGCGAGCGTATCGATTCTTTGGAAAGCGTCGAGTGGGTCTCCGTTGCTCTGGAGCTGCGGGAGGCAATCATAAAAAGTAAAATTAAATTAATAAGCAACCGAAAGTGAATTAAGGTTGTAAATATGCAAATTATTTCATGACAAAAACGTATATGATAACAAAAATGGTTTCAAAGACTGCTTTAAACGTTTAATTTATTTTACTGGGCATATTTAAGCTACTTTTTAGTTTTAATTGAGAATATACTATCTCTAATATATATTTTTGATATTTGGAATAAAATAATCTTGCGAATCTTGATACAAAATAAATATTATAAAAAGATTTGTAAATCAAACATAGACCTGACATCAGGTAAATTAATTTTTTTATTTAATAATCAGCATATTTTCGCCTCATATGAATCACTAAATTGAACATCTTTATTTTTATTGCATTATTAATAAGTCATTAGGATATAGACATTTTCAGAGTGATGGGTATAGTCGGGTATGGAGCATCCAAAGATGGCAAAGTACATTTAGCACTCGTCAAATGAATTTCCTTTCCTCCTGGCGCCTTTGCTGCAATTGCATTTCACAAATCCCACTGTCCACAAGGGTGTTTGTTTATTCAGACCCACTGTTTACGCGACTCCCCTTGGCAGATGATGATTTCCACGGAACATATCTGGCTTCGACTTTATATTTAGCCCCTCGAAATGCATCTTTCGGATGCCTGCTGACCCTTTTTGGCTCATTTGTTTGTTCAGCTATTTATGGCACGCAAAGTGTTTCTGCGGCAACTGAGAATATCAAGATGAAATGGCCATAACGAATATCATTTGAATTGCGTGCGGCTGGCGGGAAAATGGAAAATGGCAAACGATTCTGACTGGGGAAGAGAGTGAGAGGAAAGTGAAAGCTTGATTTATGGCCACCCGTCTGCCTTCTGCCTTTCAATGGTTATAATTAGTTTCCCTTTTTTACGGAACGGAGCGAATCTCCCGTTTATTAGGGATCTCTTTGCGGTTGGGCAGGCACTGACCATTCAATTGGCCACGAGCCAATCACTTCTGGAACGGAAATAGAACTTGGACGAAAAAAAACTTGGTCGAACTACCAGAAACATAGACTGTTTGCTGCCAGGTCCATTTTCCTACTAGGTGAGCTGTGTGGGGGGTTAATTGGCTACAAGAAATGTTGAATTTGTGTGACTTAGGTGGTTGGAGCTGTGGCTTCTGATAATGGAATAATAAATGCGACATTCTGAAAGAACTCTGACAAACAATGTAGTCCAATGATTTATCATAGATGGGTGACAACTTGTTATAACCAAAAAATGTATTCCGTTCAAATTTATTTTCTATCTTATTCCAAGTACAGCATTCCCTTGACCTCTATGAATAATTCCAACCCATAAGTCAAGAATATTTTCACTAATTGCCCCCACAAACACTTATTTCTGCCGTCTAGCTCTATATATAATTCAAGCACTTTAGTTTTATATCTGGACGCGTTCGTAAATTTTACAAATTCGCCTAAAGTGTTATTCTCGCATGCCTGATTTTGAAGTATTTTTCGCTTACGTCTTGTAGAAATTTGTCTAAGTTGTAAATATTTGCGATGATGTGAAATTATTAATTCACCACCGCCCCGTTGTGCCCGGTCCGGGTGACATTAAATGAAATACGAGTGTGAGCACCGATTTTGATCACCGTGTATATGGCGGAAAATTTAGTGTCAAAAACAATTCCGGCTAAAATTGTGTGAAAAACACATCACGCCCTATAAATGTTTTGCTTCGGCGCGATTTTCCAGCTAACGCATTCTACAGATGCTTTCCCACTCTGTCCCATTCGGCTGCAAATCAAATGATTTTCCGCAATTTCCCGAGACTATAAATGAATTTGGATGTTCTCGTATGTAGTAGTAGGTGCGAGTAGGAGTGCAGCGGCTGGCACTACGCAGATTGCGGATTCCAAAAATCGAATCAGTTGCCAGTCAGTGACTAACTGCTGACGTCTGTGCCGCGAGGCCCATATATAACTTGGATCTACGCAAATTCTGCACTAACTCTGTCACAGACAATTTGGCGACAACATCGTCTATTTCGCAGTCTTGGGCGTGGGCGGCTCCTCCCCATCCCCCGCATGGAGGGCTGTAAAACGCTTTCTATGTTCGCCGCCGCCGCCGCTGCCTGATAAATTAATAATTCGCATTGTGGACCAACAAATGGACACATAAAAGCAACCGAACCAGCACATCAAACGCCGATTATAAATCATAAGAACAAATCCTAAAAATAATTCCAATTAAAGCCGATCGAAGCGAAACAAGATGTTGTTTGGTTGCGGTCAGGCCATTATGAAGGTGTGAACAGGTGAACAGATGAACAGGCTCTGTTGCTGTGGAAGATTAATTAATTAAAAATATTTGAAAATTGGCAGCGATTTAACAGCTTGAACTTAAACCTAAGCAAGTGATCAAAACACCGTTTGGAATTACCTAAGAAGTGTTATTATATTATTGCTTATTGTTTTTATGTTTCCCCTTTTTTCCTGCATCAAACCTCGAATAACCAGAACCTTCTCTCTTCTCCTTGCAGAGAAACGCTCGTTCTCCTTCCGCCTCCGCAGATCCTTCGGAGACGGCGGCAGCACCAACAGTCGCAATAGTAACAATAATAGCAGCACCTGCACCAACCACAACAATCAGAAGCGGTGCAGCACACCGCTGACCCCGACCAGCACCAGCACGGGTAGACTAGAGGTTCCGGGGGCGGCATCGGTGAGCCGGCGGAGCAGCATCTACAAGAAGCCGGACAAGAACGATGGCGGCCAAATCCACCTAATACCAGATGTGGAGCTCCCGCTAATGACCTTCGCCGACCAGTACAACATTGAAAAGACACTGGCCGAGGGCTGCTTCGCCAAGATCCTACTGTGCCGACACAGGCCGACCAACACGCTGGTGGTGCTGAAGGCGGTGCACGCGGAGCTGACCACGATCAAGGAGTTCCAGAAGGAGTTTCACTACAACTACGAGCTGTCGCACCATCACCACATCCTCAGCGCCTATGCGGTAGCCTTCCAGACCATGGACTACTACGTGTTCGCCATGGAGCACGCCCCCTACGGCGACCTGGCCTCCAACATCGGCCCCAATGGGTTGCACGAGAACGCCTGCAAGCTGATCTCAGAGCAGCTCAGCTCGGCCCTGGGCTTTATGCACTCCAAGAATTTGGTGCATCGTGACCTCAAGATTGAGAACATCCTCGTCTTCACGCCAGACTTTACCCGCGTGAAGCTCTGCGACTTCGGGGCCACCACGAAGAAGGGTTTGCTGGTGCACAAGGTGAAGCACACGTGGACCAGCTGCGTGCCGCCGGAGCAGCTGGAGCTGATCAAGAACGAGCGCTTCCAGTGCCTGCCCATCAGCGACTCGTGGCAGTTCGGGATCCTGCTCTATAACATCCTGACCGGCAATCCGCCGTGGCAGTCGGCTGACTGGGTGAAGGACCAATCCTACGCCAACTTCATGAAGTACGAGCAGAGGAAGACAACCAAGGTGCCGGACAATTTCCGACGCTTCTCGCCGCGCCTGATGCGCTGCTTCCGGAAGTACCTCAGCCACGACCCGGAGGACCGATGCAAGATCACCGAGGTGGCCAAGTACATGAAGGATCGCTGGGTGGAGTGCCGCATCTCCACCTCCAAGTCGGCCACGCTCATCTCGCCCACCAACCACGACCAGGACTCGTGCATCTATCTGAACCAGCGGGAGGGTCGTCTCTCCGGGGACGAGAACAAGTTGCGCTTCAAGCGCATGATGTCCACCTACGGCCTGGACATTCCCATTGATCCGAATATGGTGAGGAGGCGGGTCTGGGACTGGCTATCCACGTGCGACGCCAACTTCGATCCGGAGGTAGAGAGTCTGCACGCCTTGGATCTGATGCAGTAGAGTCGAGGGCGCACACAATCAATTTTTTTACCTCGGTTCTAATCAGTTCGATTCGGTTTCCTCGAACAAAATCCGAAGAAGATGTAAAACCTCCATGACACCAAAGAATTTTTAGAGAGATTTTGAAACCAACCCACGTTAATAATAAGCACTTTACGGCTTAGCCAATTTGTAGTCATGGATCGCGTCCGATCAGAGCCGAAAAGATCAGAGAGAGAGAGAGATGCCTGTTATCAACCTGCGCACGGGAACTGCTTGAATTTTGGGATCTGTGAGATCGGTTTTTTAGAGCAGAGAAGCAACTTCTCAACGGTTATTTTTCTGTTGTTCTGCGATTGCACAAGCCCAGAACTGAAACATTAATTTAGTATAGATGGAATTTGGCATAAAACTAAGTAGTAAGAATTTTGTAGGTTAATGAGACCCATATTTAGAGAAAAACAACACGTCAACGGATAACTTTCCACTAGTGTTACCTTTCTAGTCTTCCGCTATGATGATTTTCTATATATTCTATACGTATGTATGTAGGTTTTAATATTACAACTATATGGATGTACTATAAAGTGTGATTTACGCGTTACTTTATGTGTACGGAATACCTACCAACTAATGCAATTATCTAGATTCTAGACCCAAATCGAGGAGTAAGGAATGCCGGAGAGCATGCGCGACCAATTATTAGACCGATAAGTTCGTTGTATATTTGTAATAGACTATTCTATATATTTATCCCTAATCTTGCGATCGATGTGTATATCCCCTTTATGTGTATCACACACCTTTGTACATACTATATATAGTATTTAAATGCATACGACTTTTACAATATATATATATACGAGTTTATATTCTATGTATACCGGCAACTGCAACAAATATAGAACCGTAAACTGAGTTTATCCAAAGACGCTTTTTTAATGCAGTAGAGGGACCGATTTCTACTAATTTCACTCCCACATGTTCATAAAACATTTTGGCAAACGAAATTCGCTAAACAATTCGCTTGATTATTCCCACATAAAAGACCTGAAAAACAATGGGGGGAAAAACATTTCTGGAGAAGCTACAGCAAACACATACTATATTTATTATTTAAATGCTAATTATTTGTTCTTGTTTAGAATCCGCTGGAACTAACATATAGTGTTTTGCTGATTACCAAGGTCGCTCAGATTTCTGTTCTTGAGTCGACATTGAATGTCAGCGGTCAGGGTTCTTTCCCCGGTGTCCGGCGGAAAGCAGCCCATCGCGTCGTTGTTTGCCGTGCTGGACAGGATGTGACGCCTCTGCGGGTGATTCCGTCTCTCTAATAAACAAGCGCTAAGGTTAATTCAACAAAGGTGAGGCTGGTGGGTGGGCGGACACATTGTTTGCATTACGCGTTCTCTTCGGCTGGCCAATGCCATTAAATTAAATAATACCGGGCCCCATGAATCAAAGGCCAATTCAATCCGATCGATGCCTGGAATATGATTGATTAATGCCTTTGGTTAACCTGTAATTACCCCGACCGTACAGGGTCAATGTCGTTTCACCTTGACTTTGTTTTATAAAACATCCGAATTGAAGACTTTTTATTGGGCGCATGCCAGCACTTAAATGAGTTTTAATGGCCAAGCACAGGGCGCGTTATAATGTTGGCTAGACAAAGAATGCGAAAGTTTTTTATAATACCTGAAGAAGATTTAAATTTAAAAACAATAATAAGATTCCGCGTGGAAAATGGAGGATTATACAGTATTCATAATTGATAACATAATGATTAAGGTATTTCTAAAGTGTCAGAATAGCATTACCATTATGTTTATCTATGTAGTGTTTTCCTAAAATTTTTATTCTTTTACCTTTTCTATTTTAAACTATAATCCTAAGGTTAATCAAGTATATAGTTTTCTTCAAATCAAAAATAGACTCATAATCTTTATTTTCTTCTTATTATACAATAAATTGGCAAACCAAGAAAAACGTTGATCATTTCGACAGATTCTCGAATGTATTCGCTCAGCTATGTTTGAAATATTCGATCGCTGTCCACGTGAAACCAAAATAAGTAAAAAATCTAGAAAAAAGATAAATAAATAAAAAAGTCTAGCTGGATGGTCATAAATAGTTCGGGGTTAGGCCATGTGATCTGCATATTTCCATGCCACGCGCATCGCATCCTGAAGAGTGCCTGGGCATTGCGCTGCAGTTGGGCATCGAGTTCAAAGGGGCGCCTAGGACGAGGCTATCGTTTATGGATCAATAAATATACAATTTATCGCATTTAATTAGTTGTTATTGGTGTAAAACTGCCCGAGTATAAAAACATGTTGTGCCGCGCGCATAAATTCATTTCAATCGCCACGAAAATAGGTTTTTACGATCCCATGCCTCTGTCCCCATCGCCGGTGCTCTTCACGTTGTCCACGAGTAACTTTTTGTCCCGACGATTCCGAATTTTCCCCCACTTACTGTATGGGTATGGCCGCCGATTTTTCTTGTTGTCGCGGGACATAATTTATGGGTCGCATTTGCCTTTTTGGCAATATCGCAAACGGTCAAGCGGAGCTATATATTTCTTGGGCGAATTACGACTTTCTATACAGCCAATCGCCTTGCAGCATGTCACTCAGCCATCGACAGCTCAAAAGTATGCTGTATGATATTGCCGCGGACTTTAAACAGAGGACACTGCCGACAGAAAAAGGGGATAAACACACTTCCGAGCATCTTACCCATCTGGAAATCGTATTTCTCACGCTAAATAAAAAGATTGAATAAATAATAAAGAGAATCAGCTGCACTGGATTCGCAAATATTCAATTTATTTGATGCAGTTGATCCACGTGCGGATCTTGGGTCTGTTTTTCTCAATCGCTTAGTAACTAAACAAAGCGGGGAGGCTGCTGGCTGGCTGGTTAGCTGAGTAGGTGTTGCAGGTGTTGCATGTGTGTGTCTAATGCCTAAGGAGCTGTCTAAACCAGGTGTTTGTGAGTGTGTACAAAAATGTCTATAAAAGCGCTGCCATAAATCATAAAAATGAGTGAAGTATTGCAGTAGCACTCGACGTCAACCGCTTCCACGATATCACTTCTGCTTCGCCGACTTCTGCTACTCATGCCAATTTCAGTGGAATATGCTGTTTGATTACCTATAAGAAAGGTCGAAATCGAGATTCAGATTGAGATTGAGAGATGGGCGGTGGGTACATAAGTAAACATTTCCGACTCGGCCGTCCGAATTGTTTACAATTAAATAATAATAAAACGAATATCAATTAAGACGCGTGTGAAATACGTCAGACGCCGCGGCGTCCAAATTTAGTTAGCGGCTAAACGATTGTGTTTTCTGTATTTGGTTTTGTTGTTCCACCGCCATCAATCGACGGGGGCGGCGACTGAGTCACTCGGTCAAAACAAATCCCCGGCCGCAGGAAGTTCGTTTTCCGCGTCCGTTTAAAGACAATGAAAAGCGGAATACGAATCGGGGCAACCGAATGGGAGGAAATCAATATAGAGATGTATGTATCCGTAAATGGATGCTACCCAGAACATACCTCGGAGCACATGTTTTTGTAGATCTCATCGGTGTCCCAGGGTCCGCGCTCCGGCAGGGCAATGCCACGCCTACGCAGCTCCTGAACGCAGTCTGTCAGATCGAAAATAGGCAGCGGGTCGATGCCAGCCTTGGCCACCTTGCTGGCCAAATACTCAACGTAGTGGGTGCTGAAATGAAATAGAGAAAGATATTACCAATAGAACTTTTTACATATTACGTATATTTGGATAATCACGACCGGTACTCACCGACACATGCCGGCATGCTTGTCGGGAACCTCGGTGTTGCACACAGTGTCCACCAGTCCCTGCGGCGTCTCCTTCTGCAGGGGAATGGGACAGCGGGCCAGAGCCCTAGCCTGCGACGAACTGCTGGACTCGTCCATCAGCTGCAGGGGCTCCGTGTCGAACTGTACCTTTTGCTCCTTAAGCAGGAACTGCAGCTGCAGGGGTATCTTGTCGCGCAGATAGAAGAGGCAGTTGCGTGGATGGTGGGCGTGGAGGCCGAGCTTGGCGCAGTACGGGGACACCGTGCACTTGGCCCCCATCATGAAGGGTCGGGCACAGCCATAGCAGAACTCGAACTTGCACTGGGTACAGGTGAAATGCATGCAACCGCCTCTGGCTAGCGAGTAGCGGAACTTGCACTTGGGGCAATCGATGCCGTTCTGGGCCAAGTGCTCTTGGACACCTTGGGCCTGCAGCTCGGGATCGTTCTCACGCTTCCACTCCAGATACGCCTCGCAGCTGCTGCCCTCGTGCTGGCGCTCCCATGGCTTGCGGCACTGGGCACAGGTCACCGAGCCGCAGTCGGGGCAGATGAGACGCTTCTGCTTGGGCCGGGCGAAGAAGCCCGAGGAGCACTGGATGCACCACTTGAAGTTTGGATCTTGCAGCAGGGTGCGATCGCGCAGCTTGCGCTGAAACAGTTCATGGACGTCGCCGTCGAGGATGCTCTTGAGGAAGATGTCCAGGTTGGAGAAGTACTCCAAGTGTTCGTCCTCGTGCTGTGCCTCGTTACTCAGCTCCGGAAGCTTGCAGAAAGGGCAGCTGCAGTCGTTGATACTGCGATCGGTGATCTGGGGGAAAGTTTATTTAAAATATATATAATATGATATAATAAAAGTCTATCTTGACCATGCTCACCTGCACTGTAAAATAGCCCTTGGCACACTGTTTGCAGCACTTGTGAGTGCACTTGAGCATGGACACGATCTGGTTCATCGGGTAGGAGCTCATGCACAGCTCGCACTCCTGCTGAAGCATGGCAATGGCCTGGTCCAGGTCGGAGCACTCCCTGGCCGCCCACAGGGCCACGTCCTCTTGGAACTTCATGTTCACCAAGGTGGCGGCTATCTGGGCCTCACCAATATTGGTCACCAGCTCCTGCTCAACATATTTGCGGGCCAGCACCTGCAGAGAAGATCATACAAGAAATAAAATGACTTAAGACTGTGCATAGTAAAATCTCCGGCTTGTACACACCGCTGGGTCCTCGATAACCGGCTCTTGGACACTAGGATACGCCCGGAAGACGGGCATACTCAGCTTACGCTTTAGCAGTTCTGCTCTGAGTGGTTCGGCCAGGTCCTCCTGCTCCTCCTCCGTGGCCGAGGTCTCGTAATCGTCGTCGGAGAAGCAGGTCTCGTGGTATTTCTTCTTGGGTATCCGGGGCTGGGAACGGGGCTTCAGTAGCGCCGCTGCAGCCGCTGCAGCAGCTCCGCTGGTGCTGGGTCCATCCCCCAGAGCGGCGGTGTTCGAGTTGAATCTGGTGATGGCATCACTGATGGATTTCTTTGTGGTCGGAGTGCTCTTAAGAGGGACTCGACTGGCCGCACTCGCCGAGCTCTGCTTCTGCAGGTACTCCTGCTGAATCCGTTTCACGGACGAGATTCCCATGGGCGCCGAAAAGGACTTGGAGCGCAGAGGAACCTTCTTGTTCGGGGGTGGGCCACTCGTACTGTTGGTGGGTTCATTTGTGGGCTTGGGTATCTTACTGACTGTGGATTTTGTTGTCTTAGGTGTGCTTATTGTGGAGGGAGTCTTGGTGGCTTTGACAGATCCATCAGATGTGGCTGTTGGTCTGTTAACTGTCTTGGCTTTCACGGGCGTGGTTACCTTTTTGGGTTCTTCCAGCACGGTCTCGACCGGTGGCTCCACGGGTCGCGACTCGGAGTCGACAATGGGTGGTGAGGGTGTTATGGGCAGGGCGATGGGTTCCACGACAGGCTCCAAATCAACTTCATTGGGGGATTCAACCTCTGGCGGGATATCCAAGACCACTTCCGTCGGTACTTCAGGGGGACGACTCTCCGAATCTGCTACAATGGGAGGAGCCTCTATTGGCAGGGCCTCTACAGCCACCACTTCTTGATCAGAAGGTACTGGCAAATCGGGGGTCACTGGAGGGGGCAGCGATTCGACCGCCAGACTCCTTCCTGCGGAGGAAATAACCTCAGTCTCTGGGGCCGGATCAGCTTCGGGGTTTGTGGGCGTGACTGATAGAGCGCGTGAGGTGACTGTTTGATGGACTGATGCGGGTTGTGTGAGCTGTAACTCCTCTTCATCCGCCACATCTTCGTCCTCCTCCATGATGTCCTCGATTTCGGTGCCCTCGTCACCGGTGGATGCCTCCTCAATGAAGGACGCGTTCTCGTTATAAGTGTTGCCATCTTCGCCCTCATAGTCGCCTTCCTCCTCGCCCTCGCTGTCGTACCACTCCTCCTCCTCTCCCTCGTCATATTCGTCTGAGTACTCGTCGGAGTATTCGTCCTCGTCGGTTGACTCGAATTCATCCATGCTGATCTCATCGCGCATTTGCTTTATCAGCCGCTGAGTGTCCTCTACCAGTTCGCTTAGGTTCTGCTTTGCTGGGTCGCCGGAGGGTACGAATTCCTTGAGGACAACCTTGGACGTTTCGGATTGACTAGACTGCGAGCCAATACTTGCGTTGCTGCTGGACTTTGCTACAGAAGATTCCAACACAGACTCCTCGTCCAGCACGAGAATTACTTCGTTCTCTGGGGATTTGGTTTCCATCCGGGCCTCATCGCTGTCCAGGCTATACAGTTCAGTATCAGAAGCGGTTTCGTCGTGGGGTCTGGTGCTTTCGCTGCCACTGAACTCGGTGGCATCTTCAAACACTTCATCGGAGTCGGTGGGACTAACTGCAATAGCTGTTATGACAGGGATGTGAGCTTCCTCCTTCTCTTCGTTTATTGGTTGATTCTGTAGTTCTGCCGGTTCTGCGTCCGCCCTTTCCGTGGCTTCTGAAGTCTTTTCTGCCGGCATGGTTTTATCATCCACTAAGGGTACTTCTTTCTGGTCAGCTGATGAAATGTCCAAAGCTTGCTCTATGATTTGTTCATCATTGGCGGCTGTCTCTTGTTTTTTAAGTTTATTAGTTGCTGCCTCCTCTTTTTCGAGTTCATCAGTGGCTGGAGGTGTTCGATTGCTGGCTCTACTTTCACTGCGAAGACTACTGCTGCTAAGGGTTCTCACTGGAATCTTTGAAAACCGCTTCGGGCTCCGTTTGTGATCGGTATTTATCAGAGTACTAGGCACTATTTCCTTAGTTGCATCTGTTGGCGGAGATTCTTGCATTTCTGGAGCGATACTGGAAACGGGAGTATTTTCAGCCTGAACTTCACTGGCCGAAGCACTCTCAGATGTGTTTTCAGCAACAAATAATTGACTGGGGGTAGGAACAATTTCTGCCATTGCATGTTCTTCGGTTTCATTTGCCGTCTTAATGTCCTTAAGTTCCTTAGGCTCTTGGGTATCTTCAACTGGTGCTGAAGGCACTACTTGAGCAACTTCTGGTGTACTCTCTATATGTTCATTCGTTATAATATCATTGGTTTCTCCAATATCTAAAGGAAGGGAAATAATGTTCTTCTCGCCTGCACTTAGTTCGACTTCTGATTCATCTTTGACTTGATCGGATGCTGGTTGGTTAGAAATAATCCTTTCATCGGTTAAAACTTCAACTGACTGAGCATTAGAAGCTTCAGTTGGTGAGTCTTTAACAGCAGAAATTAATTCCTCCTTCGAAATGCAATCCATTTGTACCTCTTTGTTTTCATTTTGCTTTGGCTCAGCATCTTTTGGTAACCTCACCCGGTTAATGGGTTTTTGACTTGACTCTCTAGATCGCATTTTCTTTGATTTCTGCGATCGATTGTTTCTCCTGCTGGCGTCTCTGCTCGTGCTGGGCTTGTCATCCAATTCGACTTGAGAGTCTGTTACATTTGGCTGAGTCGAAATATTGATTTCTTCGGCATGTTCTTTGTCAGCTTCTTTTGTTTGCTTTTCATTTGATTTATTAACTAGTTCACTTGCAGCAGGGGATTCCGCCACTGCTATTTCTACCTTTACAGGCTCTGTATTTTCAGTCTTCTCTAGGTTTATGGCTGGTTCTGGCTCAGCTTCTTGAAGTGTTTCTTGTGGCGGCACAGGCTTCTCTAACTTCAGGTCAGCTTGTTTTGAAGCTGCATCTTTTGGTGCCATGTAGCTCTTGAAGACTATGCGCTCGGCATCTTCTAGGTCATCCAGCTCCCATTCTTCTTCGTGCCACCTCTCAGTTCCACGATCAAATTCCAACTTAAAGTTGGCTATATCCGTGGCGTAAATAAAATTGGTTGGAAGCTCTTCACGTATTGTAGCTTCTCGTAGGTTGGGCTTGATTACCTCTTCCATGATGTAGACTGCAGGATCAACAGGTGGCTGCGGCTCGGGCTCGGGCTCAGCCAAGGGCTGAGTTTTCACTTCCTCGCTCACAGGTTCGGTCCTTTCCATAAGCTCTTGTTCGACCTGTTGCACCAGATTAGGCACAATGTCCTGGATATGCTGCCAAACGAAGTTCTTGACGTCATCGGTGTTCCTGTCCTCCTCCTGTCCAAGTGGCTTCAGCGTGCTGATGGGGCTCTTCGTCAGAATCCTCATCACTTCCGGATCCGTTTCGTACTCCAGCTCCGGCTTGCCCTTGAAGGTCTCCAGCATGCTCTCGATGGATCGCAGCACTTCCTGGTTCTGCTTGGCCTGGTTCTGCTCCATGTTGCCAATGAGTATCTCCAGATTCTTCAGGGTGCTGTCCTCCATCTGGTAAGGACTGGGTGTGGCATAGGTGGACTTGGCGGGACTGTCGTCATTGAGGGGCGTGTCAAAGGGATTGGCTTGGGCGGGACCGGGACTCTCGCCGGCCAATGGCGGCTGCAGGCAGTCCAGGGCATGAGTGTTCAGAAAGTCATGGATATCTATGCGTGCGAATGGACGCGGAGAGAGAGAAAGATGGGACATTATGGCATTGCGATTGACTGAACGGAGGAGTCTACAAACTAACCCGACTTGGTGTCTGTGGTGGCCGCGCCACTTTCATTCTCAACGCCATTCGGCGAGCCCCAAATGCGCATAAGAAATGGTTTGAGTTGCGTGCGATTCAGCTCCAGCAGCGCCTGCTCCACATTACCTTGGTGCCCCGTTAGCGCGTTGACGATGTCGTCCCTCAGAAAGTTCCCCTTGGACGCTAGCTTTCGGTACTTCTGCTGTCGCTGCTGGATGCAGTCGGCCACCGCCTGCCACACGTTGCCGCCAGAGCTTCGAAGGGCCTCGCGCGCCTCATTCTGGGAGACGGTGCCTATGGTGTTTTCAGCCCTCTCCTGACCGTACTTGGTGGACAGGCTCTGGACGGTCTGGACCAGTTTAAGCCAGTTATCGCGCAGCCACTGAATGGGATGGGTGTCCGGGGAGCAGTACTTCAGCGCAGCCTCTAGCTCCTCCACCGTGAACTTGTACAGCTCGAGCTCCTTCAGTATGATGTGCATCTCGGTTTCCGGATCTCGGGCGGGCTCGTGCTTCATCCCGAATGTCTCGTGGGGCAGGTCGAATGGCGAGGTGGCCTGCTGTAATATATAAGGAGAGGCTGGGGGTTAACTTAAGGGCAGTTTAAGAGCGTGTCGCAACTTACATGCTGTATCATTCGAAGCTCGTTTATGAAATTTGGTCGCCTGGTGACCTGCCCAGCACTATACGGATCCAAGCTGTAGCCATCGTGGTATCTCAGATCGTTGGCACTGCGATACCGTTCGTTCTCTTGCGTCAGCTGTGAGTTGCTGCGATAGTGGGCACGTCGCTCCATTTTACTCGACTCCGGCGGGGTCCTGAAGCGATCTGGAACCACAGTCGGGATCTCTTCCGACTTCGAGCTGAACGGCAAGGCGTCGTAGGTCTGGAAGTAATAGTTGGATTGAGCCGATGCCTTTATGTCGACCTTTCCTGTATTTACTTGTGTGGAAATGCTCTGAGGAGGCGGCGAAGTTCCCATTTCCACAGCCGCTATTTCTCGTGGCGGTGTGCCGCCACAGCCCGTGGACACCTTCTGGGCCTGCTTGAGCACCTTTTCCGCCTGCGCCTGAATGCTCTCATCCAGCGTATTCCAAATGTTTTCAACGGACTCTGGAACGGTACGGATGAGAGCATTAGCTTTTAGGAAGTGGGGACACCGATGGATTCAAATCAAACAAACTAAGAACGGTTTGGGTTGTGGTTTTCTTCTGTATTTTGTTTCCATAAATGCGTTAATTGTAGGGCTTACAGTTTATGGCTTTATTAGTATACTAACTAGGTTTAGTCTTGAGTGGTTGGTTGGTTTTGTCTAGGCCTTGGTGCCCTCGAAAAATGATATTCGTTTTTGTATCCTACCTTTGTGCAAAAAGCCCTTGGCCATAGAGTTATCAGATTCGTTTTCTGATGAGGTCTTAAGAGTGGGCTTCGGGATGGTCTTGACGGGAATACTCGAAGCGTTCTTGGAGCCGACAGCTGCCGGTCCATTGGAGCGTGTGGGGGTTTTGTTGGAAACGGGCGTGGCTGTGGTGGTACCAGTGCTGGCCTTCTGGACGGGCTTTTGTCCCTTCAAGGAGGACTTTCGCACTACGGTGACTTCCGGCTTGGATGCAGCCTGAATCTTGCTGGACTGTACGGTTTTTGCCTGTACTTGTGTCTTCTCCTCCTCCACTTTCTTGGACTTGTTGGGTTGCGCCGGCGGCTTGCTGGGGGTTTTGCAGCATATGGAGCATATTTTGATGTTGGGCTCGTTCACAAAGGTGCAGAATTCGCACTCCCATTCATGATCTGGCGTTGAGGGCGGTGGACCCAAATCATCGGTATCGAGGGCGACCTCCTCGGGCTTAGGTGCTGCTGGAGCATCGGCCTCACTCTCCGAAGCGGTGACCTCTTCGACCACTTCCTCGTATTCCGAATCACTTTCCTGTTGCGCCAGAGCCACTGGCACCGCCGCCTTCGGCACCACCGCCGCTGCCTGTGTGTTCTCGTCCTTCATCTCGGGCTTGCGCTTTTGTTCGACCTTCTTCGCGGATTTGTGCTGATCTGCCTCCTGGAGTTTCTGCTGGATCTTCGCCTGAACCAGGGCCCTGGCACCCGAGCCTTCCGATTCCAAGTCGGAGTAAATGCGACTGGTGCGTGCCGAGTCCGTGGCTGGTGGTTTGTTTCTGGTGAGGGTCCCGCCATTGCTGCCCTGGGAGTCCCGTCTTTCCGGCAACCACTCGCTCTGCACCGACTTGGCCACCGATCCACGTCGATCCCGCACCTTGTGCTGCCTGGATCCGTGCCCCCTCTGCTCTCCGTCCAGCTCATCGTTGGCGATCAGCTGCGAGGCACTGGACAGGCGGCGCTGGCGGGTCTGATGGTGTTGGTGGTGCTGGTGCGCCTGGGAGCGCGAGGCACTGGTCATTCCCGAGCGGTTCGAGACCAGTGATCGACGGTCATCCTGGTCAGAGTCCTCATCGTCCGTCAGCTCGTCGTCCACGTAGCTACTGCGCTTGCGTCGCAGGGACATGGACTTGCGGCTGGGCGTGGGCGATGCGGCGTAGCGAGATCTGGAGGCGGCTCTAGAGGCAGCGGATGGTGGCATTCCCATGACACCTGAAGTGGAGAATTTCTTTAGCTAATGGCACAGTTATGAGTAGACCAGCTAACCTGGATGCATCATCGGATAGCCGGGAGCCCCGGGGTACATGTTAGGCATTATTCCACGTTGGGTCATGAACACCGGCGGCGGGTAGTGGGGATGGTGCTGCTGTGGCATGTAGCCCGGTCCCAGGTTAAGGGACAGATTTGAGTTGTTGAATTGCTGCTGGGAGCCAAACTGGGACCAGTCGTCGGGATGCTGGTGCTGGGCATGCTGGTGATGCGAATGCTGTGGCCAGCCAGGATGCTGCTGGCTCTGCTGACATCCGGCGCAGTTAAGCTGCGCTAATGATTGGGCCTGAGGAGGCAGAGTAATACGATTTCATACAAATTGGCTCCTTCCGTTTTGAGGTCCATTAACTTACCTGTTGAATGCGCTGATTGGCCAGCCAGGCACTTCCATTCTGCGCCTCCGCCAAGGGACGGCGCTGGGGCGTGTTCAGGTTGAACACCGAGGTGCTCATCTGACGCCGCTGGGCACCGGCTGCCTGTCGTTGTTGAAGCAGCAGGGAATTGTGAAAGTTGTGTGAGTCATCCGAGAGATCGAAATGGGATGAGTTCAAACCGGATGACATGCTGCCGGAACGAAAATGCGAGGGCGATGGTGAAATGTTTGACCAGTGCTCGAACCCGGCTCCATTCAAATGCTGCGGTGGGGGAATGGCCAACGAGAAACAGAGAAAGAGAGGAGAGGGAGAACGAAATGTGACGAGACGATACGAGACAGAGACGATACGAAAAGCACAGCACAAAAGAGGATTTAAGATAATTTTAATGTCTTGAAGTCCTTGTTTCCATTTTTTCCGTCTAATATATAATATTTTTTAAATAGCATTATTGTGAAATATTGGTAATATCCAAGGATATTTGCAAGCATACTTTTTCTTTCTTTAGAATTTGAATAAAGATTTAACATCGGAATTTGCAATTTATATCACAATTCATATATAAACTAACCATTTCGTTTAAAATTGACTTCAAGACATCTTAAACTAGGTCTTTTGACATGTACCAAATTGGTTTATTTTATAATTTAATTTAATTAAAATAATATAGATTACATTAGATCAAATCCTTTTTATAAACATTTTTCATTTGTGCTGTGCAGTGACAATAAAATAACGATAGACTGAACAATGAGAAGGAATCCATATAATGATTTTGGGGGACAATGACCACATACCTGCTCACTGTTGGCACTGAGATCCTGACGGGCCTTCTGCTGGCGGTACCTTTGCTGCAGAATGGCCATGCGATCCAGCGTGGCGCTTGCCTTACTCTTAATCTTCTCGAGTTGCACCGATGGCGGGCGCTGGATGGAGTCGAACACGGACTTGGGGGTTCCCGATCTGGAGGAACCGCCACCCTCGCTGCGCGGTGGCTCTGGGAGAGGTCTGTTGTTCATCTGGGTCGAGGATGCGGATGCGGAGGTGATGGCGACTGGCCCGGGAGGAGTGGTGGCCCCGCCACCGAGCGATCCTCGCCAGCCGCCGAGCGACTTGTGCGAGGGCGTGGGCGAGGGCGGCGGCAGCATCTGGAAAAGAGTTGGGTTGGATGCCATTTCGGTTTCTGTTTCTATTTCTGTTTCTCTTTTGATAAAAAGTATTCGAATTCAAATTAAAATGTACGGTTTTTCGGTTCGACTTTGGGGCGTGCGTTGTGGTTTTAAGGACGGTTTTATTGAAGCATTCAAATTGATGATTACAAACTTGGTACTACGAGTAGCCCCTCGCGGGCTGGCTTACGGGTCTAGGAGATCGTGCAGTGGCGTACCTGATCCTTGCGGCCCAAGAAGGGTGTCAGCAGGCCGCGTTTGCTGCGACGCGGTGGCGCCACCGGAGGCGGTGCCCCACCACCAGCTGAAATCTTGGGGGGAATGGGCGGCGTGCCCTGCTCCACGGCCTGCAAGAATAAATAGAGTTAGTTTTGAAATAATCCCTAGGCCTGGATTAATGAACCCACCTTTCGCATGTGTTGCTTGCGCTTGGGATGCTTGTGGAACATGTCGTCACAGGAGGCGCAAAAGATCTGGCCGGCGCACTCGGAGCAAGTTACCCAGGGATTCTGGGAGCCGCACAAGGTGCACTTTAGTTTGTTGTCTGAGGATGATATTATTTAAACCAAAGTAAATATATATGTATATATTGGGTTGATTTTATATCTTAATCTTCTCTTTACCTGGCGTCTTAGTCCGGATCACTGTGGTCTTCAGGGGTTCGTTGGAGTACTGTTGCTGATTGGAGAACTCTATGACCTCGTAGTCTGGCTCCGGGGTGCTCTTTGCCTTAGGCGGCAGGGCGGGGGCCTTGGGCAAACCGCCACCCACTCCATTGGGTGGCGTGGGTGGCGGCTTCGGTCCGATGCGGTCGTTCGCCTCGGTCTATAGAGACGGACAATTGATGCAATTCGATATTTGACGGGAAAGATGCCTTCTGGCACTTACCACCCAGGAGGGCATAGTCCGGACATTCTTGTTGAGCAAATGTGTCGTCATCTTGTGTCGTTGATATCTCGCTTGGCTTGATTGGCTTCTTCTTTGATCTAAATTGGGAAGGAAATTGTATATATACAATCATTTATACATGTACGCTAAAAATAAAAAGGCTTTGTCCCATTTCTGTGCCATTTTTTGTACGATTCAAACAACTTCAAATTCAATTAAGCTGTCAAAGAACGCGTTGCATAAATATGAATATTTTTAGCCGGCTCACCCAAATTCCGAAGCCAAGGAAGTCCCAGAGGGAAGGTGCTCACCAAATGCAATTTCGGGGAGGCTGTGCACAAAACCAAACGCAGCCAGAGTTAGATCGCGAATAAACCCTCTAATTTTAGGCTAAACTACATATCTCTCCGTGCATAGAACAAATACAAAATATTTTCTTGGCATACAATCGGCGGGCTTGTTTATTTATGAAAATGCGAAAGAGGGAAGCGCTGTTTAGTGAGTCACTTGGCTGTCAACGTGGCTAAGTGGCTGCGCAACCGAGGAAATAATGGCAGAGAGAAATGGCAAAGAGAATGGGATGGGAAAGAGACTAAACAGAGAACTTTTTGCAAATTTGAAGAGAAGCGAATTCTATTTTAATTTTTTGTGTTGTAAATTTTTCAAAATATAAACGAAGCAAATAAAGAAATAATAATTGAATTGAGAAAAGGTAAGCAAATTAAATAAAAGAAAAATGCATGAGAGAAAAGTGAGAGAATATTTATATCTAAGTAAATATTAAAAAAAAAATAATAACAATAAAATCGAGAAAAGGCAAGCAAATAAAATATAAGAAAAAATTGATCAGTTCTGAATAGACCGTCATTGTTTCAAAACTGTCGCTTGCCTTTATCTTAGGCATAATGATTTTAGTCATAAATTTGCAAGGCAGTAAAGAAGATATAAACGACACCTCTATAAAGAATATACTAGCTTTACTTTATTAACCAAATTTATGGCTATAAAAGGTAAGTGTACTGGCAAGATCTATAAAAGTGTAGGTTATTTGCTTTTATAACTTATTTCCATCTGTTACAAAAGGTCCTTACAGAAAAAAAAACGCAAGGATATATAAAGTTTGACATGTCAAAGTAGCTTCTTTTCATAATTTTGGTTATTTTTTAGGGTTCTGATATTGTTTAAACTATTTCTTTAAGAAATATGCATGAAAAGTATGAATATTTTATAGTTATATATATTTCCCCCCAAAAATAAATAATATTCACATCCTCACAGACGAATACCTACACATAATTTTGCAATATTATAAATTTTAATTTAATTTTAAATATTAAACATATATTTCTTGACACTAAATATTTTACGAATTAACGTAGTCAAATTAAACATTTAAGAAATCTTACTAGTAGTGACTATCGCAATCATGAAGAAAACATTTAAAACGAATATGAATTTGCCTAACTCACACCCAAAAATACCAACATGACCTTATATTATGCCAATACTTTAAAATGCTTTAAAAATGCTGTCCAGACAACACTCAAAGCTTTTGTATGCACTAATTATGTGCATGTCGCTTCATTAAACTCATACACAAATGTGTACACAGTTCGAAAGCAAAGTTGTAATATTCTTTACGAAGAGAACATTGCGTATACGCAACGTGTTCACTTTGGGCTGCACTCCCATCCCTCGCGCACTATTTTAGAAACCTTCCGTTGCTTGTCCATAGTTGTGTTTGCTGAAAATGTGTCGCACTGCGCAGCAATATTTATGAAAGCCGCCTGCAGTGGTCGGATGAGCATGAACATGGGCCCGTCCCGTACCATCCCAGCCCATCCCATCCCACCTCATCCGAATCCGCCTTCGCCTTCGCCACCGCGTATGCCCGGCGTCTTCGAGCGACAGCTGCCCTGGGAGGCAGCCACCGAAGCGAACGGATCACACACGCACTCACACGACCAGAGAAAAGTTTTTATTTTTATGGGAGAACGTTGGGAACTATTTATAAACGTTTCTTTGGCTTGCCTATATTTGCGTTTATTTTATGCACCATTTTTCACCATTGAAGCTCGGCGAATTAACATCCAAAAAAATATTCAAAATTTGCATGTTTGTATACTTCGATTGGCCTTTTATTGATTGTTAAAACTGTGCGCAATGCCTTGAACTTTCCCATGGAGCACTTTCTGTGTTTAAATTTAGCCACTTTATATTTAGAACTCTTTTTCACTTAAATCGAATTAATTGTCCGCAGCCTTCCTGTTTGCCATTGAACTCTGTGGCCAGTTGGGATTGAGCCGCAAAGGGTTCGCCGAACACAGAGGTCACTTACATAATTCGATTTCACTTGACGCGTCGCGCCGCACTCAAAACTGCCACTGCCAGCTGGTAGCACATGAATATATATATATATATCGGATATATATTTCTAATGTCTAGCCAGAGGGCGACATGAAAGTTCTGCTGCGGTCTCGTTCGGCGATCGTCTCCCAGCAAACTGAAATCTCAATCGGATGCTAAACAGCATTTTTACTGCAATCGTCGGTCCCCGGTCGTCGCTCGAGTAGGAAGAAGTCAACGCAGATCTCAATTCTCTATTTCTCATTTCGTCTGGCTTTTCCCCTCCATTTTCATCGGTCTCCGCCGCGTGTCTTCTCTTATCTATTTTCAGTATTTTCGCGTTATTTTATAAATACATCGTTTCCGAGCCGCAAAGAAAATTTTGGCTGCGAGACGCTGTCGCGCTTGTGAATAACATCAATTTCTTTTTCGAAAATTCTCCTCCCTCGTTTTTGTTTTGTTGTTAAACATTTTTTGGCCAACGGTCGAGAGATGTGCATAATTTATCACTAGATGAGTTAAGTAGACTTCCTGAATTTTGAGTGGTTTCTTGAATGAAATTTTTATTACAAAATTTAGATGGTTAAATCATCCAGTAAGAGGGAAAAGTTTTTAAGGATCAAAGGAATCTTCCAAAATTTTAAAACTCTAAAAGAACAATATATATTATAATATCAGTTCAATTATTTTTTGATGATTCATGCAGCCCAGCCCCTGAATCTTTCATTGGGGCAGACCCCTGCCCTAATTATGATTTATACCAAACAAAGGCCATGGGTATCTCCTGCTTGCTAGCATCATACTCAGGCAATAAAAAACGGCATCCATAACTCCTAGATCAGGCTAAATTGCAAACAACGATAAAAATATCGGCACGGGCCACCTGCTGCCCGTTCGGAGGTGCAAATCAAAAGGCCATTTGGACTGAGATGGGTTCGTTACGATGCGAATTACGGAATTAGAGACCGCCCGCGGTGGGTTCGTGAGGGGTCCGTTCGGGAGCCGCTGGTCGGTCTAAAAATAAATACAATGCATAATAAATTGGCTGCGACAGAGTCAAAGTTCGATAATTGCAGACACGCACATCTGTGGCCCCAGGACCCAGGCCCCCCCATTTTCCGAGAACCGCACACGGCCCACCCTTTGACCTTGGCTGGGTGTTACCTCTCCAGCTGATGCCGCCCCATTGACGCAAGCCGAGGTGGCTTCGGCTGGATCAGCTGTTGGCCAGCTGGGCGTAAACAACCCAAGATGCCGGCTCTCTCTCACTGCCACCGACGAGCTTTTCCGAGAGCTTCTCGTGTAGAAAAGATGGCGGATTTGCAGCTTTCCGCGAGAAAAACTACACCGCAACGTAGAGGACGTGTAAATTATGGCACAATCGATAACAGCTGCTCGGAAAAGCCCTGGCAAATGTTAAGTGGAAGTTCAGGCCATGTCGGCTAGCATTTTCCGGCTGCACTCGTGCAACGTTCCTTTCGGGCAATGGACGCGTGTGGAAAGCCGAAGGGAAATCACTTACCGCCAGCCCCGCATCCACAATATTGCGTGTACAAAAGGGGCGTGTGCGTGGCTCCAGTGTGTGTGTGTGTGCCGAAAAAGTAATGAGTTCTTTGGGTCCTCGACGAGTAGATGCAAAATACTAAACGCTAAAAAAGTGCCTTTATGTTTTACCGATTTTCCGGGCCTCACTTTGCGTAGTACTAATTAAACGGCTTAAGAATCACTATCCGAAGAATCCTGGCCAGTATCCCTTGCCTTGAGAAAGCCCAAGGCTAAGTGCTGCAGAAAGTGAATTTGAAGTAAAAGAAAATTGCATACATTTACGGTTGACTTATGAACGTCAGCAAAACAAAGTCCATAAAATATTTGTTCGAAAACTGTGGGTCCAGAAGTCATACCAAGAACAAGGTATAAGGCGGTGTCCCTGAAATGCGCCAAAAATGCTGCTGCTGCTGCTGCTGTTGAGTGCGAAGTTCACCTTCACCCGACGTGCATGTCATGCAAACGTATGAAAAATCGATACTGGATTCCGCTGCTGAAGCATCAGCCGTTGCACACTTATTAGCCGCCAACTGAAGCCTCTCAAAATTGCAGTCAATCCAACGACACAGACCCATTATCCCAGATAGAACATAGACCACACAGGCATCACAGGCAGAAAAGACCATTGCCATGGTGGATGCCAAGCCACAGGCAGCCGCTCCGGGAGCAGTGCCGGGCACACCGCCGGCTGGCTTTGCCGGGGAGCGCTCCAAGATCAAGCTCTTCATGGAGCGGACGCCCAGCATCGGGGCCCTCAAGTCCAAGTTCCTCACTGTGCTGGGCAACAGCAATGAGCTGCTCAACGGCATATCAAATAAGGTAAGAGAAATTGGGGCAAACACCGTGACTCACGCACAATCATCAATTTGTATGTGCAATAAAAATAATAATAAAGTAAATTAAACGAATTCTTATATATTAATTAAACAAGACACTTGTTTGATTTCAAATTCAGATAATTTCAAATATTTTTCTAGTAAGATTTTTAAAACAAAAGCATTCATTTTTGGTACCAAATTGCTTGTGATATTTTATACACATATCACAGGAACGCCGTTTTGCTTGACACTTTTAATCTTAAATATATTTGGAATATCCTTATGGTATCTTCCTTATAGTCTCTTAAAGACTCACGCACACCTCTAGGGCCGAGCTGGGTTAGCCTTGGTAATGAACGCGCCAAGAGGTGATTGGGGGTGGGAGATCTATGTGTGTGGGTCGGGTCGGGTCTATGCTGCAAAGCGACTGACACTTTGATAGCTTTGTTGTGCTGTTTGTTCTTCCCATTTCCGCTTTGGCCCTGCACTCGTTTGACCTTCACTTTGAGGCCCTAATCTGCACAGTGCTTGGGGCTGGAATTGAAATTGGGTGGCACATTCTCCACTGCTTCCTTTGTACTTGACTTTATCTTGCTTTGAGCGCCGCAGCCTCGTCCTTGATGGAAATTAATTACATAGACGCCTGGCAACAATCGCTAGCTAGTAATGCCATTATTCATAGACACTCATGGGATTTATTGACAAATATGGAATCAAGCATTTATAAATTATAATTTCTGCTTCTTGTGCTTGCAGCTGACGCTGAGCAGCAGCAGCAGCGACTCGGACTACTGCGATGACGACGAAGATGTGCCCAAGTGTAAGTATTCCCGGTGTGCTAGCGATACAAATAGGTTAATATTCATCCGATTTATATTACAGTTGACGAGAGCATTGACTACACCAAGATTGACTTTGAGGGACGGCGGGTAAAGGCTCGACGAGCGCACGAAGAGATCATCTCGGGACGGTATCGTCAGCCCAATTTGGCGCCGCGTAAGTCTTGTATTCTATGAGTAACACTTTCAAAAGGATGCAACTAATGAAGATAATACCCAACTCCTTTGCAGGTCCTCGCCTAGAACCGTCGCGCGGCAGGCATGCTGCCAATAAGCTGGGAGGACCACAGCGCTCGAGCTCATCCTCCAGCAGTTCCGGCAGCAGCAGTGACGACAGCAGCTCCATGTCGCTACCCGAGAACCTGGCAGGACGCTCCCATGACGTGAGCAGCACCACGCGCTCCGATTCTATAGAGTCACGCCACTCCGGAGGATATGAGCGGGCCAGAGCGATAGCCGGAGCTCGGCGCAGCGAGATGGACATGCAAAAGGACATGCAGAGGATTGGCGAGCTGGTCGAGGCCCCGCCGCCACACATCGACGTGCAGCCTCCTACGGAAGGAATGGGAGCAGGAGGAGCTGGATCCGGAGGACGGCAACAGTGGGCTGGCGGCAGTAACTCTATGCGAGTGCCGCCGCGCAGCCGCACTTCGAATAGTAGCACGCTAACCAGCCTAAGGGACGAGCCGGACCAACTCCTGGCCAGCCCAAGTATGGAGTCCACCGACTGGCGGCACTTCATTCGATCCGAGTCGCAGAACTCGGTGCCGTCGTGGGCCTCGTCCATCAGCCTAGACTGCCGGGCGGGCGAGGAGCCTGTCAAGGAGTTTATGAAGCACTTCACCGCCATGATCTTCGGCGGCTCACCGGGAGCCATCGATCTGGAGTTGAAGTCCGAGTTCGGGGTGCTGCTCCGGCTGGAGATTGGCAGGCTGTGGTTTACGCGCTTCCTAACCGAGCAGCGCCACAAGTCCAAGCGACTCGACTCGGTCACCTTTGGCGGCCTGGCCCAGTATTTCGCCCTGGCCCTGTTCGAGTGCAGCGAGTGCGAGGACTACGCCCCAGCGGCTGTGCTCATGAATCTCTGCTTTCTGTTCTACCACGAGGTAGAGGTACCCGGCTGCGACCCTTACCGCGAGTACCTGTTCTCCTCGCTGCGCCAGCAGCCCATCTGGCAGCAGCCGCGCTTCTGGAACGCCATATTCCACGATGCTCTTCAGGCGGAGCGGGAGCACCGGGGTCGGAGTCAGCTGAGGCGCCAGCAGCGCCGCCAGCAGAAGCAGCAGCAGCGCCAGGTGGCAGCCGGAGCGACGGAGACGCCTCCACCCTCAAAGTCACCGCGCAAGCAGGGCGGCGGCGACTCCTCGTCGAGCTCGTCGCACCAGGCGGGCTCCATTCAGGCTAGTCGGAAGCAGAGCAAGGCCAGCGTGGGTCAGCCCCAATCGATCAGGGAGCCAGAGGACATTGCATTTCGGCAACTTGGGTAAGAACGCAGCTCTGCCTTAATTGAATCTCCGATTTAATTGGATATTTCACAGTGCCTTGACGTGCAACATGCACTCTCTTGGGACGTCTCAGGAACTGTGCCTCGACTTCCTGAAAAAAAACGTGGTGGCTCTCAACCTATCCAAAGGTAAGAACCGACTAACCTTGCTTTTCATCGTCTATGATTAATGTGATTCATTGCTGATCTCAGACAAAGCCAAACTCATCAGAGACAATATCTATCGAATGTATCACGAGACGCAACTCTGGGGAGCCCGACACGCCTGAGGTGATCCGTAAGCTCCGATTTCGTATATAATCTATTGCATTATTCATTCCTTTATCTCTTTGACAGAAGTAACAATTTCAAAAGTACCTAACAAAACCGTGTTTCAATCTTCGTCTCAAATAAACCTAAACTTTTGTCTAAAGTCAGCCGACAACTCAGAGCTAATCCTTAAATTAGCAGATCAATGAAGTTTTATCTGAACTCTGAAGTTTTTACTCATGTTGTTGTAACACTAAAGATAGTTATGAAGTTATTTGGTATTCTTGTAGCTGGCTTTGATTTCAAATGCGAAGCATTGGGAGAGAATTGGGAGAAATGCATTAATTGGTTATAATTATTAATATATTAAAAAGGTAGACAAATTGGAAAGCTCATTAGTAGTTAGAACTTGATATCATTTTTAGGCAAATTTAAAATTGAATACAAAATTATACCGAAACATATCTCTAAAGATTTATTCGCTTTATTTCCATTTAAAAGAAGAATCATCACTAAAATCTCGAATTAAAGCCCGCTACAAGAACACCATTTTCATAGCTGAGAGATATTGGGGGTATCTAAGCGAAAACTGACATGTACATGTATCTATAAATTGTGATAATAATATTTTGTGATTACTTTATATAGACCTAAATACCTATGAGTACCAAAATTATGCAATGCAAGTAGCTAAAATATCGCAGTTTCAAGTTGTTACCAATAAAGATCAATAAAATGCAATATATCATATGTTTGTAATGTAAGAAATAATATTTCGCTATGGTTTAATACATCTGAATTAATAAAAACTTGTCACCTAATAATTATAATGCGTTATGACTATGAAAATGGGTTTGGTAAATTTGTCATTTAAGTTTAGTTGATGCTCTTCAGGTTCCTTGGTAGGTAATAATTTCATCAGTTACAGCTGATATTGATATTCAGTCTACTGATTATAGTTAATTTGGATGTGAACTTTGCTATGCTATGACGAAAAGAAAAACAATCAAAAGTATGCTTTAATTTAGATCTGTGATTGGCCTAGCCTAAAATGTACAATTATTCAATGGAAGAAATCTATTTATATCACAGAATTTAAATATGGATTTATATATCGACATTCGAGTATATACATATATGCACAGTATTGATATACCCATATTTTCATCCATTCATACCTTAAAATGCTGACGATTAACCGGCGAAACCAACAAAGAAGCCCCAAAAATACTTATGATCTTCTTTATTTATTAAATTGTTGCAACACAAAAACATAATTCGCTTAACTTCACTTTATTTGCATTTAAAAAGAAACAAAAACTGCGTTGTTTGTTAATCGCTTGAACTAGGCTGGAATTCCTTTGTTGCTGCTTGTAGAATTGCACTAAATCGAGGTTCTTGAATACTTTCCAGTTCGAAAAACATAATCATAGTCGACGCGCGACTTTGGTCAAAATGTTATATTATCCGAGATTTTCATAGGTGTAACAATGAAATTTATTTAATTACTTTGTAAAAATTAACCGAGCTAGGCATTTAAGAGTAAACAAAGAATTGGCTGGCGTGCTATAACATTTATAGATACAAACTAAATACACAACTGACGGAGAATAATGATCGCAATTACAAGGATTCGTAATGAAATAATATGATAAATATTAATAACTAATAGCATTAGACAAGCCTGAAGCTATAACAACAATTGCGGATGCATGGTTTGAACTTTATACTTTTGATTTGTGTTTTATTATTGGGCCAGATGTTCAGAGTTCAAATTGACGCTCGAATAATTCTCCTCTTATAAATATATACAATACACTTGAAAACCTAAGGTCGCTATCTCGTTCCATATATAACTATATATGCGCGTGTATATATCTCTTTTATTTAGGTAGGTGGTAGTTGATCTCCGACGCGGCTGCCATATCTTCTTCGCCCAGCATATGGCTAGTTGTTGCGATCACAAGTTTGCGCCCCTATCCCTCGGGCTTAGTTCACGATGATCTGGAAGGTCACGGACCCCTTGCGATCGCGAGCGCTGCCGCTGTATATGATGTTCTTAGCCCAGGCGCGGCACTCAACGTCCAGCATTTGGCCCTTGGGCGGCGAATTGAACTGCACGGCGACCAGGGGACTCAGATAGCCGTTCTGGTTCATATACGGGTAGTAGTAGGACGGGAATCCCTGGCTGGGGAAGTACCTAATGTTCTGGAAGAGCTCCTTGTCCTTGCTCAAGTGTCCGTTGCAGCTCACCCAGATTTGTTTGCGCTAAAAATGTAAAGATGCATTATTATAGTACTCGAGGATATATCCATAAAACCCTGGCAATCATTACCTCCTCCACTGCCGTTCCGTTGATCACATTTTGGAGGTCATCGGGCATATCCTTCTGTGGCACATCGTATACCTCTGGCGTCCAGCCGAAGATCTTGTTTAGCTTCAAAAATATGCAGGGCTGGTTCGCCTTGTAGCCGTAGTTATTGGCCCTGGAGCAGGAGCCGAATAGGTCCGTGTTGAACACGCACACCTCGCTCGGCTCGTGGGTCTGACCATAGCTGCAGTGCTTCATCTCCCGACCCTCGGTATGGTTGTAGTCTGTCAGGATTGAAAAGCATCAAGAATAAGCAGATTCCTTAAGAGACTTGTTGGTTAACCTACCTCGGAGGAAGTCATCGATCAGCTCGATCCAGTAATCGCTCTCAGCCGGCTTCTTGCCGTTGAACTCAATCACGGATCCGCGCTCCGTCTGTTGGCTCAATGGACGGAAACCCAGGCCGGGATTGGTGCCTATCAGAGAGTCGTGCAGTTTCCACTTCGGTTCCGTATCACTGATGGTGGACAGGAGACCCTGCATGCAGATGGTGAAAAGGGCAGCCAGCACGATATAGAAGATCGTATAGAAAAGCAGCAGTTGGCCTGGAAAGGAATGAAGAAATTTGATATTAAATAAACTACCTTGATATTAAAGATTTGCTATATAAATGTATATATTTTTGATACATTAACAAACTAACCTCATCTCTATCTTTTGTATCCCACTTGCAAACGATTTAATTGTCTTTTACAATACTGGGTTCCATTGCGGAACTGAATAAATGGGGGCATGAATAAGGGGGTGATGAAGACGGGACCGGGGCTTATGCAATCCTAACGAGCACGCAGCTAATCGAACGCTTACGACAAATGCAGTAAATAAGGCCAGAGACAACAAACAGAGAGCCAGAGACTTGAACGGGGAACCGGCGTTTTGTGTGTATTATTTCAATGTCATTAACATTGACGACTCAGCTAGAATTCAGTGGATGCGCAGTGTTCTGTCGGCTGTTTGTTACTTTCGCTGGGACACCAGACACCGGACACACAGCGCGGGACGCCGTACACCGGACATCGGCCTCCGGCCACCGGACTCGGCCAAGCCCAGAGCTATTGCATAAATAAGCGACAACATCGACTATTCCAAATTGACAGCGACCGAGTCGACTGTTGTCCACTCGAGCTCAAATTCCCAAACAAATTAATCGTATGAATGAATATCGAATACAATGCATGGGTTCCAGTGTACAGTAGGTGACAAAGGCCAGAGGAAATTGCTCAGGGTTGGTATTGACCTGCTGGAACACCCTGTAGGCTCTGGGACCCTCGTTTCTTAAGGCCTTTTTCCCCCATTAATTTCTCAGTTCCTCATACAAATTTCACAGCTCTCATACCAAGTTTTAGGGGTTCTGTAAACCACTATCCTTTAAAAAACGACATGGCTAAGGTATTATTTATCAATAAATCAATTATAAATTTATTTATTTTTAAATTCGAAATGTTTGAAAACTTGTTCTATTATAAAACTTAAATTTTAAACATTGCAGACATTACCTAGAAACATCCGAGGTGCCACTGTGATTCATTTTTCTTTTTATCACAAATTTATGGGGTCAGTAGCAAATAGGGGGTGGTCTTTATCGCTTCGAAATTCTACGACACGAGCTATCAATTGGTAATCGATGGCCTTGCCAGTCGGTTGGTAACGACTTTTCCATATTTCAGTTTTCAGGAGCTCATCAAAGTTGCAGAGCCCCTTCAAATGGCTCTGCCGCTGTTGCCATGTCCGAATGGAAACAATTGCGTTCAAGTACAAGGAAATAAGTTTGGCAATGACCAGAAGCAGACAGACACACCGGGGGCAGACTATCGGCCTGGCAGTATGACGCCAGCCAGCAAGATAGACGTCCGTCGAGCAGCAACTACCCCGGCAGGCCAATTCCAATTCCACTGCCACTTCCACACCAAAACCAGACCCACCAAGGTGGGACAACGCGACTGCCTGCGGCGTTTGTTACCAATATCCGATGTATAATGAATTCTGGTCTACATGCTTACGATTCTATGACGGCAGAGTCCCCAAACATTCTTATGTCTTCGCCCAAGGAGGGACCGCCATTGCCTTTCCTACCCAAATCGATAAGTCTACTCCAGTTCAATGGCTACTAGTGTACTAGCTAGCGACTTGCATATACATATGTCGATTCCTTCAAGTCCTGAAAATAGGTATCACATCAGTTGCCACTGTCCCAGCAGGGGTTGCATTAGGAGCAAGGTCGTAAATATGGTTTCGCCTAATATACTTTTTATTGCTGTGCGGAGAGTTGTAAAAAAAACTTTATAGTGGTTAAATTAATTTTTTGTTTTATCCATGACACACTAATGAGTATAAATACATTGACCTTAATTAAAAAAATAAATCAATTATTCGAACATACAGAAGAAGTCAATTAGAATAATTTCCACTTTTCGAATTTGTTCTATTTGTTTGTATTTTTTCAATACATTTATGTTCAATTTTGGCATATTCTCTATACTCTTTCTCCTTGAAATATATGTCTTTCGCGAGAAGACCAAAAATAAACTTGGAAATGAAACAAAATGAGAATGCTCAAGCTAAGGAGAGATGCTCAGTTGAAATGGGAAAACCATTATGTGTTTTTTATCCATGAAGGCAAGTACTGGAAGAAGCCGTGTGGCCATCCCTCAAGACTTATCCAACACTTATATAAAAGTCAAACAAAAAGTCCGTAGGAAGTATCAAGTTTATGCATAACAGTAAATGCGACTCATGAAGAAAACTTTATTTATATGACCATCACCCACACCCGGCCCGTTGTGCAACCAGTCGTGGAGCGGTGCAACTCAGTGACCAAGTTTTAATAATAACACTCAACAATCCCGGCTTCGTCCTTCCGTCCGTTCGTCTCCTGGTGCGGTAAACAAACTTAAAGGGCCCGTGACCCATATAAAAAACGCCACTCCCTCTCCAACGGCTCCATCCCCTTCCTAGCCAGCAGGAAACCCAACCCAAAACGCTACGTTTGCATGACCAACGATTGATAGCCTCGCTCCGTTCTAGACGCGGCAGTGGTAGTCACCCAAGTGGACCCACCAAGGCCGGCTAAACTTAATAATTTAGTTACGTGCTGGACGCACATATGGCCAGGATCCGGGCCAGCTCGGAAAGTGCTAAAAACTGCTCGCCGAGTGCCTTAATTTGCACATTTGACCAGTAAGCCGAGTAATTGTGGGAACTCGGCTAACGACTAGCTCATGTGCAACCGGAATTAATTTGGGTAATGAAGGTGACACCCAAGATTATCTTTCTATTGCATTTTGCTTTTTATATTATATTTCAAGAGAAAAATCTGGTGAGGGGGTTTTAAGTCTCCTAAATCACTTGTTCATTGAATTAAAATGATGAT